AGAGAGAGAGAAAGAGAGAGAGAATGAGAGAGAGGGAAGGGAAGAAAGAGAGAGAGAGAGAGAGAGAGAGAGAGAGAGAGAGAGAGAAGAGCGCGATTATGGCACGTGTTTGGATTTAACGCGTTCGCCAATAGCGCGTTCCCGCTCTTGGAGCCGGCCGGTAAATAAAAGCGGCCGAATCTCAAGCGTGCGCTGATGCCGTGTACATGTTGTTACTGCTTGCTCGTCTGTCAGCCTTCTGAGAATCTTCAGACTCGCGAGCGAACGTGTTTCTCGATCAAGAACGTGTTTCTCGATCGGGGACGAGTCACAGCGATGATGATTCACGAAATACTCAGGCTCTCGAGTCATACGCGCAGCACGCGAACGTGCGATACCAGCTGCGCTGCGCGATAATTTGTATAAAACGCTCTCTCGTCGCTCGATACACTTGCATTCGTGCGGAACGTTCGCAAGGCTCTCTGGAGTCTTTACCCCCGCGCGAGTGCGCGCGAATCGCGGCATCGGTCGGAAATAATCGAAACGACTCGATGATCGACCGCGCCGATCGACTCCGGATCGCGCCGAAGCCCCGACCGGCAGGTCATACGCAACGCTCCGGTCCTTACCATCGAAACGTGCAGACGGAGTGTATGGTGTTCAGATTGATTATGTAAGACAACCCGTTCGCGACTCCGCACCCGTCAAGGATCGGAGCGCGCTCCGCGCCGACTTTGCAAAGCGCGCTCCGCGAGCGCGCTGATTACGCAAGCGGCGTTCGTCTATCGTGATCGCGGAATTTAGGTCAAACGGCGTGTCCTTCGCGCTATCGGCTGGTCCGCGCGAAACCTAATCAGTCTCGTTATTAACTTTTCAGCTTTTATGCCGGAGCGCGCGCCCGAGCGAGCATGCGAGAGCCAACACGGATCCGATCGATCGTGGGCGATCTGTAACGCTCTAAATCTAATCTAGGAATTGAGTGCACAGACTCGTTGGAATATTAGCCGACAATTCGGAAAAATTGCAAACCTTCTGGCCGCTGTCCGGCACAGTCTCGCTTTGCCCACCTTGTCGATCGATCAGCGTTAAATCCGTCGTAGGAATTCAATGCCGCGATATTCATTGGAATTTGCCGAAAATTAAGAAAAATTGCGAATCTCGCAACTGTTGTCTAAAACAATCTCGCTCTTCCTTTTTCCTCCATCGGTGATGTTTTAACGATAAATTTGATCTAGAAATTGAATGCATCAATTCATTGAAACTCGCCAATAATGATGAAAAATTGCGAATCTCGTAACTGTTACATAGAAGAGTTTCGTTCTTCCTTTTTTTCTCGATCAACGGTACTTTAACGTTAAATTTAATCGAGGAATTAAATGCGCCACTTTATTGCAATTCGCCAGTAATAATAAAAAAAAAAAAAAATGACAAATCTCGTTGTCCGCAATAGTTTTATTCTTCCCTTTTCTTCGACGGTGCTTTTATGTTAAATCTAATTTAAGAATTGAATGCACCAATTCATTGAAATTCACCAATAATTATGAAAGATTACGAATCGCGTAATTTTTGTGTTATCTAGAACAGTTCCATTCTACCGTATTTTTCGATCGATATAGTCTTTTATCGTTAAATATAATCTGGAAATTAAATTAAACTAATCCACACATATATATTGGAATTCACTAATAATTATGCAAAATTAGAAGCCTCGTAATTTAAACTTTAAAACAATTTCGCTTTTTATTTATTCCCGATCAATAGTATCTTATCATTAAATATATAATTCAGGAATTCAATATGCACCAATTCATTGAAATTCGCTAAAAATTATGAAAAATTACAAATCTTACAGCTTTCGAAATAGTTTCGTTCTTGCTTTTTTCGCTGATCGATTGTACTTTAACATTACATCTAATCTGACAACTAAATGCGCCAATTTATCGAAATTCGCCAATAATACGGAAAAATTACTCGCAACTGTTGTCCAGAACAGTTTCTTTGCTTCTTTTCTCCTCGATCGATAGCACTTATGTAACTATCGCTTGACGCGCGATATTAACGGTAATTTGCGTGGAATCGTACAACCAAGCTGAATATCCGACGTGCAAGGTATAGTGTAACGACTAGCTGTCCGAGTAGATTGCGGGCGGTCGTCTCGTTACGTGGGAAAAAAGGAGGCGCAGATCGAGCTGGTCGTTAGATAGCTCGCACCTAGTTAGACGGCGACGACAACGGCTGTAACGCATCGACGACAACGTACGGCGCGCGCGGCGAGGCAAATATCAGCGTCTACCTACTTATACTTTCGTTTGGCTTGAGTCAACAAAATGTGAATCACCGCGAGTGGAATGGCCGATGGTTGACGTTGAAATCGGTTTACTGGCGGTCGGTCAATGCCCACGCGCCAGCCACGTGCTGCTGTTCGACGGTGCTCGTGCTCGATTATTTCCAGAGTTCGCGCCCGGAAGAGGGTTGAAGATACGTTTCGCGGCAATTAAACCGTCCAAACTCGTCGGCATAATCGCATTAATGTCGACCAGGTCGGCGTTGTTGCGAAAATATCGCATCGGGAAAGGACACTGCGATTGGACGATTGGTTCGTGTGTCCACTTTAGTGTTCCTGCATAAACCTGTTGGTTCCAGTTTGATTTTGCAGCATTCCTTTTTAATAACGCATATTAATAGCATCGTGTCAGGGCCGCGGACACGATGATCTGCAAAATTCTTTCGTTTCCCTGTGGGTCCCGAAAATCCCCATCGAACGATTGGCCGTACGCCCGTTCGCATTTGCGTTCGCACGAGGAGGTAAATCGCCAACGAGGTCTTAAAATAAGTAAACGATGGCAGCAGCACCAGCTGTTCGAATCCACCTCTCGAAAAGGTCAGCCGTCTTGCGTTACGTTTCTCCGATCGATGATTGACGTACGAAAGGATCCGTCATTTTTGTTGGACATGAGTCTATTGATAGATCACGATCGGTTCTGACGTACGCGCGCGAAGAATAAAACCGGCGAGGCTCTCTTTCCCTCTCTCTCTCTTTCTCTCTCTCTCTCTCTTTCTCTCTCTCTCTCTCTCTCTCTCTCTCTTGGGAAAGGAAGAGATTCGCCTCGTTTCTCTTTGCTCTTCTCTTTTCTTTTTCCTTTCGAAACCGTGATCCACGGTAATAATACTCGAGAGATCTTTCAGCAAGGGAATTAGGATCGCGCCAGAACGTTCTGTCTTGGGCAGTCGAGAGGAAAGGAGCGCCAGGAGCTATCGATTTGTTTTCAGTATTTTAGATTTTGCGACTAGAAATACATCCCATGGGCTTGATCAGGTTGATCATCCCAATCGGTTGTCTGATTTGGACACACTAAGAGAAAAATATCTAAAAAAGAAGAAATATTTACCTGTTGGGAACTAATAACTTATAAAAAAGATATTCCACGTATCCCTCTCTGATTTTAATAAAACTTAGCGGATTTTATAAAGAAAGTAAAAATATTCGATACACTTTTTTTATTAGCAACCAAACTTAAGGGGTGAAATCAGCCTTTGAAAATCGACAAAATTTTTTTTTCTTAACTATAACTATAAAACAAATATACTAGTAGGTATATTTCAAAATTCTACACATTTTGTACATGTCGAAATTACGTTGTCATGCTTTGTTCAAAGAGATAGCTAAAAAATAAAAATTTCGCAGATTTTCAAGAACTGATTTCAGCTCTTAAACATATTTGATTGCTGATTAAAAATATACGTATTGAATATTTTGACTCCCTTTAAAGCGAAAGCAGAATACATCAAGTTTCATTAAAATCTGGAACATCTTCGTTATTGGACTAATATAAAGGATTTTTCAAATAAAAAAAAAAACATTTCCTTAAAATCTCTTAGCTTCTCATGAAAGCAATTATTTACTCTATTATTTAAACACAATAATTACGATTTAAGTAAATATGTTATTAGTACTCACTAAATAAATATTTTTTGTTTGTTAGACATACTTTTTCTCTCAATGAACAAGGTGATATTACCAAATCATAATTACCAAATCATAATTAATAATCTTTGTTATCAGTGAGATCCTGTCTGCGTTCTATGACTTATTAGGACCCGATAACATCGCGAATCAGACGACTGATTGAGATCAAGTTATCAAGACCACGAGGTAAATTTTTAGCCGAGCAGCTTCTGGTCTTTTTCCTGGAATGACGACGTAGATTTCCGAATGTTAAAATTCAAACGTCTCTCTCTCAGCGGGTGACGAGCGCGTCGTCCGCGAGGAAAGAAACTCTCCTTGCGTGCTCTCAGCGTGGGTCCCTGACGACGCGTCGTCGTTCTGTCTATTTATAAATCGATAGGCGATATAACGTGCGTCCATACGCGCCTGCACGATCGCGTACACAGGTAAAGCGAAAGCGTAGGCGAGACCTCGCGTTACGACGACAACGACGACGACGACGACGACAACGACGACGTCGACGTTGTAATTAATGAAATTCGCTAGCAGAAGAGATACATTGGTAAAGAGATACAGAATGAACGAGCGAGTGGCTTGTAGCCTGTCGCTTGTTGAACTATGGAAACCGTTTCAGCCGCCTCGGCCTACTTAAGCCGTGTCGTTATTTTTAGCATTAGGGTCACACCGCGCCGTTGGCTCTCGTAGTACCCATCTTTTCTTCCTACGATACGAGCCGACTTAACTTTCTCGACCCTTCGTAGCGCGCGCGCGACGTCGTTCTCGCTCGTGTTCTGATCGCCCAACGACGACGATCTTCGACTCCGCAGCTTGCAGTTCGTAAATATTTATATCGGCTATTTTTGTGTTCGTTGCAGAAACGAACGAATCCGAGTGTTAAAACGCATCATGCTCTCCGCGAGTGCTTGGATTTTTCTCCAGCTTCGTGCAGTCATGTGCGAACGTTTGCTGACACCAAGATCCATCTTGGAGACGCGTTCTCGCAGACGATGGATCTTGTCAGTGGAGGAAGGTGGACGCCGAACGCCAAATAACGCGCGAATAACGTTTGTCGCAGAGTTACCGAAAGATCGCACGGCAAGTCAGCACGCCTGACAGCGCACCAGCTGGTCTTGGCAGTCCACAGGCTGGTATCGGTGGCCTGCAGCAACAACACCAGCAACAAACGCAACAATCTCTACATCAGCCCGATCCCATGCAGCAAACCAAGGACAATCTCAACTCGGCGGCGAACCAACAGACGGGCGCCTTGAGAAACGGAAATCCACCACCACCTGTCGTCTCTATGGTGAGTTTCGTGCTGGTCATCAATCTTTACAATCCGGCCGCTCTTTTGGTCGACTCCCACAGGTTTTAGACTAGAATTTTTTTGTATACGTCAAAGGGTAGGTTAGTAAAAAATGTAAGGACCCCGCCACGTCACCATAGTGGCTTGTCAGATTATGTAAGAATTGAATTCTTAAATTTTCTTTTCCCTCATATCACATCGGAAATACTCCCTTGCTCTTTCTTCTCTCACTTCTTCTCACGCGATTAAGACGATTTGAAATTTTTACGTTAAGTGGTAAATGAATCGCGACATTCAGACATCTCAGACGTTCCTCACGTTCGCACGACTACCCTCCGTCGGCTTTGCACATCAAGCGTTAAGCCAAACGTGAGTCGCGTGTTCGGGGAACTATCGGTGCCAAGAGACCCGCGTTACAGAGACCAATCGAGTCGAGAATGGCGCATGTAAAGGCGCAATTTTCACAATCGCGGGGGGAACGTCGCGGTTCCCGACTGCGAAGGAATCGGCTGCCGAAATAGCGGCGTAACATGGAGGGCAAGGGTAGACTACCGGCAGACAGTGAGTGCGGGGGCGGTGACCGGCCGCCAACGCGAATCAATACCCGCAGGAACAGGAACCACCGACCTACCGAGAGAGACGAAGAGAGAGAAAGCGCGAGAGAGAACGAGGGAAAGAGAGAGAGTGAGAGAGAAAGGGGGGGAGAGAAAGGGGAAGAGAGAGAGAGACGCGTCCCGGGGACGAAAGGAGAGAAAGAGAGAAGCGATGAAAAGCGAGCGGTATCAAGAGGTGGAGCAGGAGTAACGATAGGAGAAGAGCCGGCGAGGGTGGCCGCTCACGAGCGCGAGGGTGGCGCGTGTTAGGGGTACATCTCTCGTCACTCATATGTGCACGAGTGTCTTCTTCTAAATGCGTGACGTCGAATTTTGACGACGGTCTCGCGTCTGTCTGTTACGATTGTCGCTGTCGGGTATTCTTCTTCTCCTATATTTTTTTTCCTCTCTCATATATATGTCCACGTGTAGGTGGAAGCCACGCGCGAAAGTAACAACTTGAAATAATCGCAGGCGTCGAAATACGCGTCGGTGGTGGGCGTCGGTGTATGTCGATATATTACTCCAATGAATTCTCGCACCAGCGACCGCGTATGCACGCGCCAAGCGTAAAATCCCGCCGCGTGTGTATTCTTTAATGAAATAAACGAATCGATATCGGGAGAGAGCGACAGTGGCCGACGTCGCGTCGCGTCAGTGATACAAATTTGTAACCTTGCGACTGCAATACCATGCATTTTATAATATCCGCTTTATTCCAGCGGTGCAAATTCTCGTTTTCACGTCGACATGCTCAACACCGACGCGCTCGTCGTTGCGTCGCGAGAAGATTTCCTCGTTTTTCAAGAGACCGTGCTAAGGTCAAATAAAATCGAGAGATACCCGTAATAGTTCTCGCTTCAAATTTTTCTAGTCTGAGCTAATCAGGTCTGAATTCCAAGTTATAACGGAATTTTTACTTGGATCAGATTCGTGATATTATTTTTGTCGCAATTCGACTAGAAATATATCTGACTCTACGGCTTGTATTAATAGTCGTTAATTGAAATTTGTCCTACGTGACGTCTTCAAGTCTGAATTTAGAGTTAGATGAGAGATGTTATTTGAATTATTTAATACGTATGACATTACATGTACAATTGTGATTCAGCTGAGAAACTCAGGACTAATTCTAAATTAAAATCTGTCTTATCTAAAATAAGTTTCAAGTAACGACTATTAATACGGACATAAGGTTAATATTAATGGTTAATACTTGAAACTTATATTAGATGAGATACTCAGATTTGAATCTGGAGCTACGTGTGAGCTTTTCCAATCAAATTGCAATTACAAATGCAATGTCACGAGAATATCGAACGATTTAAATGAACAAAACTCCGTTATATTCGGAATTCTGACTCGATTAGTTTACATGAGACGAATTTCAAATAAGAACAGCTAATATGAACCTAAATTCAAATCCGAATATCTTCTTTATACAGGCCTCATACCTATATTAATATAGTGGTTACTTGAAGCTCGTCACTCCTGAGATACTCAGACTTATATTCAGAATTAGATAAAAATTTTTCATTATTTTGGATTATACGACACATGTAACACTCTATACATCTGTAATCGCGATTTAATTGAAAATCTCGCATCTAACTCTAAACTCAAATCTGAATATCTCGCTTGAGAGGAGTTACAGGTAACGGCTATTAGTACAGGCCTAAGTGTGCTGTAAAGGCCGTGTGTGGTAAAACGTTCGGTCGAGAGTGATCGGCGAGTGTTATCGGTTTATGTAAATTCGAGCTTGTTGGATAAATCAAACGCCGCGCGTATGTAGCCGTAATCATAGAGAAACCACACGACCCATTCGATTAGACGAACGTACGTTATCGCGATTGGCAACCGATATCGCTTCCGGCTCCGAGCGCGACCAACTTACGCGTTTACACACTCGCGATAAATAATATATACCATCGGCGAACACATGCAGTGACGTTCGCGCGCCATTCCCCCCTATTTCCCCGCGGCCGCGGTGATCCTCGCGTACGTTAAACGTACGGTATTTCCATTGATGCCCGGGCGTTAATTGTGCATTTCGCGCGTTAAATGCGCGCGCGCGTACTACATATCGTGCGCACGTACGCAAACACGTTCGGGTGTCGCGTTCGCCGCGATAATTGCTAATGCCGCGGTGATAAAGGAATCAACGTTATACCGGGCGTATTCATCGGAACGCCCAATTATGCAATAAACCGAAACCGCGAAATGCTTGCCGCTCGATCGTTGTTGCCGGTACGCAAATTGCGAATTGCGTCCCACCGCGCGTGAGGTATATGCGGTTTATCCTCGCGCGATTGCTCACACCAAAAGAGACGGAGAGAGACAGAGACAGATAGAGAGAGATAGATGGACAGAGAGAGAGAGAGAGAGAGAGAGAGAGAGAGAGAGAGAGAGAGAGATGGGGGGGAGAAATGGAAGGAGCGAGTAAACGAGAAGAGAGAAAGAGAGAGAGAGAGAGAGAAAGACAGGAATGTACACGATTGCAGTTTCGTGCGCTGAAAATCGGCACCTCGCTCCCGACTCGAGAGTCTTACATTGCGTTACACCGCAAACGACGTCGACGGCGGGTAAGCGCAAGGCCGAGAACGAGAGTAGGTGAAAAGTGGTCGAGGTCGACAAACTCTCCCGGGGGTATTCGCCGGAAGGGCAACTCCGGCTCCCAAGGGTTATGTTTGGGTGCTGTCACAGAACGTCCCGTTTTATCACGCCAGGGTCTTAGGTTGCCCTAGGTCACGATGCCACGAGAACGGAAGGATTTTCTCTCCCCGAGGGAGCGGCGACGCCGGCCGCCGCCGACTCGCGCACGAGTGTGCGTGGTAAAGTGGTTGGAAGAGGAGGATGATACCGCGGAGGAATCCCTGCCTCGCTTGGCGAGACGCCCAGGTCTTCGACGCTATCAACCTCGACCACAAACACCGATTCACGGCCACCGCGCGAGAGTTCTCCGAGAGAGTTTCCGCGCGTCGTCGAGAACGGACTCTCGTCAGCCGACAATCGGGCTCAGCGCGAGTCAAGCTTGTTTCGAGAGAGCGAGCCCCCTGCGCGATTGCGCGTTAATCATCATCACTTGGTTGTAAAGTACTCTTTTCTTCCCTTCCTATGAGACATCGCGTTTCCATGAGATCGCGAGACCCGGACAATCCGGCTATTGATATTCAGCGACAGCGATGAGTCGAAGCTTTTGGCCGATGCAAAAGCACCAACGGTCGAACGAGTCATCGCATAAATTAAGTAAAATGAATATTAAATACATTTTTAAAAAAATATATAAGTAACATTTTATTATTTAAATTTAGAAAAATTAATTCAAAAGAAGTATCCACACCCTCCGAGTCTACCGACTTGTATCGTTCTCGTTTCTACGATTCCTTCTAGGCACGCTAGGTGCTCGCGCGCGTGCATTTTGAGGGCAACCGCCGCGAAAGTGGATGACAAAGGTCGGCGGCGGTAAGCGGATGAACGGAACCAATCGTCCTGACTCTCGTTTCTCTCGTTTTGTACAAAGTTTTACAGTCTGGCTGCGAGGTTGCCGGCTCTCTCTCCTTCGCCTCGCATCGCTGCGGACGGTTCCTCTCCGGCTCGCCAGGCCTCGATGCGTCCTTTTTTCCCCTTCGGCCCCGTCTTTGTCGCTGTGTTCTCCCCTCCCCCTTCCCGCTCGTCGCTCACCCTTTCTCGCTCTGTCTCGTTGACAGAGAACGCGAAAGATAGAAAGAAAGAAAGAGAGAGAGTGTGTATATATGAGTGTACGAGAGAATCAGAAAGAGAGAGGCAGGGGAGGGAGAGAATAGCAAAGCGGAGAGAACGAGCGAGCGAACGAAAATAAACCAAAGTGAACTCGTGCTGCTCCATTTTTACGCGCACTTTATCCAGACGCGTCATTTTATCCTGGAGGATTGCTATTATTGTTGTTATTTGCCCCACGATAAAATGTGCCACGTCTGTTAAATGAAAAAAGAGAGAAGGAGAGACAGAGAGAAAGAGAGAGAGGAAAAGACCAGAGCTGTGTTTAGATACGCTCAAAACAAAACTCGAACAAAAACAAAAATAGCAACAATGTGGACTCTATTTAAACTTTGACCTTCGACCTTCGCATTGATTGCGGAAAAAGTTTCGCCGACGATCGAGTAGCTGCAATGTTCGAGAGATTGGGTCGCGCTTTCAAGGAGCCCCGATTTTGGGACATCGCGCCACCACATCCACTTTCTTCTGTGTATGTGTCCTCTTCACCTTGACAATGAACCACGCCATGTCCCTGTACTTACTTCGAAATACGTTTTTACGAACACATTTGTAAAGTGTTGCTTAAGCTGCGCTTTAAAAATCGCGATTTCTGAACGATCGTTTTCGTTCTCTGTACGCAGTCAACCGGCGTGATGCCATTCTACGGGGACTCCGGCGCCGGTTTCCGGCCAGCAGCTGGTTTCGGTAATACTGTTTGGCATCAAGGAGTCGGACCAGTCGGCGCGGTCGCTGTCGAGACGTCACCGGCACCTTGGCCGCCTCAGCAGTTTATTCAGCAGATTCCCGCACCGAATCAGCTCGATGAGCTGAGGTATCATACTCAGTACAGCGCCGCGGCGCCGTATCATCCTCAGACAGGTAAGTGTATTGATGATAACGACGACGTGTGAGAAGAGGACGCGACGCACGCGAGAGATAACGACACATTCCGCGAGCACGTTACGGGACTCGAGGAGAGATAAAGAAAAAGACAAAAAAATTCCCGCGGAGTTGGTTTCTCGCAAAATCACGACGTGTCTCGAGACGAATTTGTCGCGCGAAATTTCTCGCGGGAGTCATCCGTCGCTCTGTCTTTATGGTTTCTGTTGTGTGAGACGCGCCAACCGTGTTAATTTGAACGACGTTACAGTCCCGTATCAGCAACAGACATTCATAACGGCGGACCAGTCCGCATTTCAACGAGCCGGCACGACGGGACAGTACACCATTACGGGACAGCCCTCGCCGCTGGCGTCTGTCGGTGGGCAGACGGTCCCGACGCCTCAAAGGCAAATGAACGGACAATTCGTAGACCCTGCGACCAGCGCTAATCAACCAGTTGCTTACGAGAGGCAGGACTATGTGAACGGCTACCAACAGCAAGTAAGAGCCGATTAAATAACTGGAGAACAGGTTCCGCTTACTTACACGCGCACGCGCGCGTCCAGTCGTTGACACGACTCTCTCGTGTCTGTCCCCGTTTTGGTTCGAAAGAATCGCGTTCACTCCTGCTTGCGAGATATACGATGAAGATTTGAATTTAAATGGCAGGAACATGGGTTTTGATAAATTGGAATTAATGACTACAGGTAGAATAATTGGAAATTATTCCAAAAATTATTTCCAAGGAGGGAAGAGATCTAATCAAAAACGTACTAAGAATATCAAAGAGAGAAGCAAATGCTACAAATTCTCTCTTTATATACGGGGGATTGACCACTTGCAACAAACGCGCACAACTCTTTTTAAGACATCGGTTTTGGCAGGACGTGACAGGCATGGCGCCGCCTCCGTCGACGACGCCGACGAGTCGCAGTAGCTCGGTGCACATGGACAGTCAACAGCAGCAGCAACCGGGCGGCCCGCAACAGACATCGCAGCAACAGCAACAGCAGCAACAACAAGCTACTGCGGATACGCAAGTGAAGGGCTTCGCCGCGATCGCAGCCGCGAACGTGTCGGGAAACGAGATGCCTGGGTATCCACTTCAACAGGACCCACAGAGTTTACACAACTCTAACGGATATCCAGGCTACGTTGAAATGGGTCAGCAATCAGCGCAAAGCCAATGGCAAATAGTGTCGCAACAACAGCAGCAACATCATCAACAGACGCAAATGCAACGACAGCAATCAACGGTGGTCGACAATAATCAACGGCACATATGGCCGGACGCGAGCGGAAAGATGAGCAATAACGTCAACAGCAACATGAATTGGCAAGAAGGAGGAATGCAACAGCAACAGAAACCTTCGCAGCAACAACAAAACATGCAGAGTGGTATGAAGCAGCAAGTCGAGCAGCAACAAGCTACGCAGCTGCAACAGCAGGAACTACCGAGACCGGCGAGTCATATGAGCTGGGAGACCGGAAGCGTGAAGGAACCTCAAACGCCGCAGTCGTGGTCCGAGAACGCCGACAGTCAGCAGCAACAAACTCAGGGAAACTGGTCGCGACAAAGCCCGAAACTGAGGGATCCGCAGAACTCGTGCTTGACGCCGTCCGGTCAGCAACAGCCGTCTCAACATCAGACCTGGCTGCAGCACTCGCCGAAACTGTCGGATCAGCATCAGCACAACAGCGGTGCTCAACAGAATCCAAGAATGACGCCTTCTGCCCAACGTAGTTGGCAGCAGAACAGTCCAGAAATACAGGGATCTCAACAGAATCCCAGGCTGACGCCTTCCGGGCAACAAATGCAGCAACAGCAACAACAGTGGCCGCAGCAGACCAAGGTGGAGCAGAACCCCAGACTCACACCGTCCAATCAAATGTCATGGCCCGACACGCCGACTAGTCAACCGAATTGGTCACCGAATAGCATAAAGAGTGATAATAGTCAACAGCCGCAGCAACAGTGGCAAGATTCACAGCCCAGTCCTAGACGGACTCCGGGCCATCAGTGGCAGAGCCAACTGACGCAAGATAACAAGCTGGACAATCGAGTGGCCTGGTCGCCGAATTCAGTGTCGGAGAGCCAATCGGCTTGGGGACAGCAGGCGACGAAACAGGACATGCAAAACTCAGGGGAGAGAATCGCGTGGCAGCAACAGTCCGCGGTAGAGACTAACAAGCCGAATGGTTTTCCAGAAAGCCAAGATAATATTTCGGAGAATAATATGTATGCTCAAGCGAATCGAGTGAATCTCAATAGTCGATTAAAATCGATGATTCTGAACAAACAACAGCAGCAACAGCAACAGCAACAACAACAAATGCAACAACAACAGCAACAACAAACCCATCAAGATCAACATCGCAATATACATCACCAGATGCAGGCGCAACACGTCGGTAGTAATAACGGAGGCACCGCTGTGGAGTATCCAACGGACGATCGAATGCGCGATGCGCACGACAGCAACGAGAAGATGCAGGAGAAGCGCACGGATCACTTCATCAATCAGTCGAACATCATCTCGATGGCGCAATCCAACGAAAACATGACCGGTAATTTTTTATCGCATAGCCACCACCCTCGGGTAGATAATTTGCCCGACGGTGGTGGCTTATGGGGATGGACAGGAGGAGAACACAATCACAGTAACAGGAACGACGGTAGCGTGCTACCAGAACATAGCATGACAACCCTCGAGAACTTTATGAAGTTTGCTACGGAGAGCAAGAGCGATGTCGACCGATGCTGCGACAAGGATAAAGATCAGCTGTCCTGGCAAACGCAAGAGAAGAAGAGCCACGAAGATCAAAGCATCGACGACAAATCCTTCCAACAACGGCTGTGCATGGATCAAATCGAGGAAGTGTCTTTCGGGGAATCCCAAAAGACGTCCGAAAGCGACGAAGCAAAGAGCGACAGTTTGGACTTCCTGAAAACTACAGATACCGTAGTCGGTACGTCTTCCCAGGACATCGATAAGTGTGGCGACTCCGTTCGTGCGATCAAACAAGAGAGCATCACCGTGGACTACAACAACGACGTGTCCACACGTGACATAGCCAACAATGTCATAGCCGAAAACGAAGAAGGGAGTCAAAAGATCGTGCCGGACTACAAGTTCCGCGGCGACGGCGGTCCCGCGAAGGTGTCGCCGGGAACCGGCTCGTGGTGCTGCCGAAGAGGCGGCACCGAACAGCCGACTCCCGAACACCTGAGGGACGGTTGTTGCCAGGGTCTCCAGACCAAGGACGAAATGCTGGCCGATTCCCCGCAGAGAGACGAGTTAAAGAGCGAGGGTGGCCCGCACAGTCCACGCACTCCGTCGACAGCGTCGACAACGACCACAAAATTACAAGACCACTTGGACAAGTTGAAGAACAATGTGAGGACCGAAGTGCCAGACTGCAACTGCTTCCCCGCCGACAAATGTGAGTTGCAATTGCGTATTCCGTATCACATTAACATCGAGAGAACACACTAACCACGACAAGCACACGAAAGAAATGTAAACATACTAATGTGTATTATGCATATGGCCCATAAACAGCACCGAGCGATTATGCGAGCCTTGAAAACACAGAGAAGAGTGTGAACGTACCTCTAACCCACTCCTTTTCCCTGTTCGCAAGGACATATCCTTCGCACGCGCGGTATAAGTGTTTCCGCTTCTATTACTTCCCTTTCGTTGATGCGTCGCTCGCTCGCTCGTAAGTAAAATGAGCTTCCAACCACAAGGTCCACCTGAGCCCGGCTCATACTACACTCATCTCGGGGCGGCTGCGAGTCTGCCCGATCTAAGGAACGACCTCGAACGAAGAACTGGTCTCAAAGGCGATGCGATAAGATTCGAAAAGGTCATCTATACCGGCAAAGAAGGCAAGACCACACAAGGGTGTCCAATGGCCAAGTGGGTAAGTGCTTTTCCCTTAAAAGAAAAATATGACTAATAGCAATTTAAACCCGCGAGATTGTAACGTTGACAATCCACTAGATCATCCGGCGATCCGGCATCGACGAGAAAATCTTGACCATCGTAAAGCACCGTCAGGGTCACAAATGCCCAACTGCTTGGATCGTCGTGGCTATGGTCGCCTGGGAAGGAGTACCAACACACGAGGCCGATCGGATTTATTCTCTTTTAAGTCACAAGCTCAATCGATTCGGTCTTCCTACGACTAGACGATGTGGCACTAACGAGCCGCGTACCTGTGCATGCCAAGGACTTGATCCGGATACTTGCGGCGCCAGTTTCTCCTTCGGTTGCTCCTGGTCGATGTATTATAACGGATGTAAATATGCCAGAAGCAAGACCGTGCGAAAGTTTCGACTGTCAGTACGATCGGAGGTAAAGAATTCTTGAAATAGTTTGAATAAACGCCAAGAGCATACATATAGACTGTAGGCTGTAAAGATAAAGAAAGAAAATAGAATAAACTGAAACGTGTTTCCCAGGAACAAGAAGTCGAGGAACGAATGCACGTTTTGGCAACGCTCTTGTCACCTCTGTATCTCAGTCTCGTGCCGGAAGCGTTCAATAATCAGACTCAATTCGAGCGGGAGGCGAGCGAATGCCGTTTGGGTTTCAAGCCGGGTCGACCGTTTTCCGGTGTCACCGCCTGTATTGATTTTTGCGCGCACGCTCATCGGGATCTACACAATATGAATAACGGATGTACCGTGGTACGTAACTTCTCATCTGAACTATTATATTAATTCGTGGTGTTGTCACGGAATAATTTTTCTCCACCATATCGAATAAAAAACGCGAGACTAATTATTTTATGAATGATAAAGCATTCTACCGAGTCTCTTAACATGCTTACTTACCTTTTCTAGGTAGTTAGTCTGACAAAACATCGATCATTATCGAAACCTGAAGACGAACAGTTGCACGTGTTACCTCTTTACATAATGGACGACACAGACGAATTTGGTTCGAAAGAAGGGCAAGAGAAGAAGGTTCACTCCGGTGCCGTCGAAATTTTATCCAAGTGAATACTTTGTATAAATATCTCTAAATCATAAACATTGCAACTCAAACATGTATGATTTTATCACTGCTCTTAATAACGTGTATATGTATACAGCAAAATATTCTGCTGCTAAGAAAAGACATTTTTCAATTTACATTCCTTTTATGTAATTTGTATATTTTTTCCAGATATCCATGCGAAGTTCGAGTTCGATCAGTTCCGCTTCAACCTTGTAGACGTCATGGCAAGAAAAGAAAAGAAGACGAGCCCGATACCATGAGCGGCAAAAAGGATGCGATGAAGATCGTGTCCGACAAGATGGTGGACGCCGGTCGCTCGCCAGGACACGTGGATTCTTCTAGATCGCAGATAAGGGACTCTCAGTTGTCACTGGAGATGACACCCATGTTTGAAGGCATTGACGCGCAATTGCAGAGCTCTCAGGTGTCATCTACAGTCCTAGATAGTCCGGTATCTATGTATCAAGGATGGGGATATCAAGGTGAGCAACAGTGGAACCGGAATGGTTGGCTTGAACAGCGAAAGAGCAACTGGCTGAACCCGTGGGGAGAGTATCCACCTTTCGGTAGTTTAGAGAGAGACGTCAAAGTAGATCCTGACAGCACCAGTTTGGATGACATTAGACCTAGAAGCACCGTTTCCCAGGAGGAACATAGACCAGTTTCGCGAAATTTACCCAACTCCACGGTTGATTCAGTCAGAGTGTGCTACGGGAATTCACCAAGAGCTCACCCGATCTCACCTCGTTCGCATTCGACCTTATCGGGAGAAGCATCCTACGGCGGCGTGTCGTCCAGAGGCTGCTTGTCGACGCTTCAGGAGCCAAAGATGATCTCATCCAAGGGACCGGAACATCCGAACGCGGAAATCGGCTATAATCATCATATAGCGCCTGGATCTTATTCCATTCATGATAACCGGCAAAACAATTGTTCCCCAAGAGTCGTCAATTCGTCGCTGAGCATGGAGGCCGCGCATCGAAATACTCCATCCAGGATGAATTCATCGCCAGTCGCCGCTACTCATCACATTCGCAATGCCGGCCAGGATTACATGGCGAATCAGTTGAGGCTGCCGTCGCAGAGATATATGGGAGATTCTAGTCAGCAAAGGTACTCGAACAACATGACGCAAAATTACATGGACGCCGAGAACTCGACGAAATTGGCATTGCTGAGGCCGCAGATCGAGCAAACGTTCGCCAACAGAACATCGCAGCATTCGTATCCACCGCAACAGATGCAGTCGTCACCCATTAATCCCGTGTATCAAAATCAATACAGCGACGGTAACACGGCGAATCTGTTTTCTTGCATGGACAACAATCCCAATCACAAGTCATTGGAGACTGCAAACTCGGACGTTTTGGTGCACAGTTCGTTGCATTTGCCGGCATTCGAGCAACGGAACGACACGCAATGCTCGCTGCTATCGAACGAGCAGCGAAAGTCCGCTCATCATCATCACGTGCAAAGACAATCGGAAACGAAGCCCTTCGTGGTTAATCATCCTCCATCCCCGTCTTCCGATCAAGTTCCACGAAATTGGAACACGATGAACTCGTGGTGTTCATCTAATCAGATGAAAAATTCACAGCGAATCAACGATCAGCAGATGATCGATAAGAAGATCTGGCCCGGTAAATTAGCGAGATCGGACCAAAGCAAATCCTGGGAAACACCGTCCGAACCGTCCCCATTCCGAGTGCCAAGAGGAAGGCCGCCCTCGCGAACGATATCTAATCAGAATACGCCCACAGAATCCAATACGTATCCAAATCCTCTAGCCAGAACGTTTTTAAAGCCAGCCGAACCCACAAAACCTGCTATATACGCAGATGCATTGAGCAGCGGTGCCGTACAAAATGGTTGTATGCCCAATCAATTGAAGAGCAACTGCACAGAGGACAAATTACGAGAAGGATTCTACGACGGCAGACAAGAGATGTCCAATTCCAACCCGAATTCTCTTGCGTGGGCGGAGGAAATGAAACAAGTGCAAGACTTCCACGCGATGTCCGGCCTGGGCCACCATGCGTTCCCCCAGTATGGCTATCCGACTTATCCAGTATTCGAGAAGCCTTACGCGAACTCGTGGGAGAGCTACAATTACGGCCATCCTCAGTCGTATCAAACACCGGAGTACCCGCAACAATTCTACCAGCAGCCGAAGCGCGAGAGTTGCTTCCACTCGCCTCAGTATCCGTACCAAGGTCTGAATCCCACCGGCTGGACCAGGTGGGATACACCCCGATGGGACATTTACGGGCCGCCACCGCCGTACTTCCCGGTGCTGCCGGAGCCTCCGCCAAAGGCAGAACCGCTCGGCGAGGTGGCCGACTATTCTGACAACGAAGAATGCTTCAAGGATCCACAAATGGGCGGTGTCGCGATCGCTCTGGGCCATGGTAGTGTACTGTTCGAGTGCGCCAAGCACGAAATGCACGCTACTACGGCCCTGAGGAAGCCTAATCGCCTGAATCCAACCAGGATCAGTCTGGTGTTCTACCAGCATCGCAATCTAAATAGGCCCAGGCACGGCTGGGACGAGTGGGAAGAGAAGATGCGGCTGCGAAAATTGGGCGTGACTACGTCGACCAGTAGCAGCGGTAGCAACAACAACAACGCGTCCTCTTCGTCGACGTCCAACCCATCGACTCCGACCATAGCGACGAGTCCAGGCAGCACCACGAACGACAAGACGCCGCCGCTTCCGTCGTTACCGCACATTCCGAACGTTCCCAACTCGCAGTTCATGATGAGATCACCCACCTACACCACGATGACCTGGACAACGCTCTTCCGAATGCACCCCTGCATCATAACCGGCCCGTACCAAGAAGGCGGTGCGATCGGATGAGTCGAGGTCGCGAGATATGGTTTTGAGCGTCGATGACCGCCGGAGCTAGTGACTATCACCGAGAGGCACCGTCATCATCACTAAGAGGATCCCAGGTGACGCGAGGTTCCACAAGAGGATCGCGATGTCCTCCGATGGATCCTCGCTGCACGAACGAGGCGGCGTCATTAAACCACGAGAGGCTTTATATCGTTATTATCGTTATAGTTAGTTACTCCGAAGAAAAAACAACAAACACACACTTTACACTGCCATTTTTTCTATTTCGAGTTTTACGCAGGATTTTGAAACATAATGACGAAAAACGTGCTCGACGAAAAGCCACGCCAGGATATGTGATCCAATCACACACCGTCTGTCGGGGCTCGCGTTTTATATTGACTTTTTACTAAGCTGAACTCGAGATATAAGCTCTCGCGATCGAAGCGGGTAGACTATGAAAAGATCGAGACGAGATGAACAATGATAAATGACCGAGGCTATTGACGTATCAGGAAAGAAAAAATAAAAAATGAAAGAAAAAGAACGAAAGCGCCGATGACCGGCTGCCCCTTGCGAAGACTTTGATACGATAGATTTTCGTATTCTGACTCTGTACACTTTAAGTAATATCGCATAATGCATAACGGTTTCGTGTTGGTAGAATTGTAATCTTATTAGCTAGTCGAGAAGTCTAGATGATGAATCACGCGACACATCACACGTACACACAGAGCACACATTAAACGTACATGCACACTCCGAGACATCCAAGGAACCTGCACGATATATATGATCTCGAAATTATCGCACATTCTACAAGAATGTGATGGGAGAGAGGAGAAAAGAGAGGTAAGGAGAGAAGAATATGAAGTAGCATAACGCGTTACAAAAGAATCGTAAAATTCGTTAAAATCGATGAAAGGATAGATTATTTTGATCTAACATATGTGTTATATGTATATGTATAATAATGATAAATTATACGTATACATACATATACACGTATATATTAAAGGGAAAGCGTTAATGTACTGTTAAACAACTGAAGACAAGAGAAAGCTTGTAAGAGCCGATGAAAGATGTAAATTGTAAATGTTCTCAAATGTTGTGACTATGTTTATTAGCACTAACAACCGCGATTTCCCGAGTTTCTTCGATGTCTCTCGGGGTGCCCAAGAGGGAGAGAAAGCGCGATAATTCCGGGAGTATTCTTGTTTTCGTATTCGTTAGACGAGCGAGAATTCTTCGCAACGGTCCAAGCACAATCCTAAAACTCCGAACGACGATATATACACACACGATATTGATCTCAAGTCTTTAAATTAATTAATCGATATGTAACGTATATGATTTCTAGCCTTTGTACATTTCGCTTCTTATTCTCGTATTTATTTACTCGTGTTTGTAACCGTAGCTAAGTACTAAGTACGAATTAATTCAAGTGGCACGCCAAGTGTAATAACTAACTAACCATGCGTCCTTCGGGTCGGCTGAGTACAAAGCATTTATCTAACAATATCACGTGACGCGTAGGTAGTAGGGGTGTAATCTATCTTTGGTCGAGACAATGTAACACTGGTACGCCAGGTGTCTTCATAATCATCATCATTATTATCATCAGCATTATCATCATTACCATTACCATAATCATCATCATCAATTTGACGTTCTTCCCTGTTGCTTTCTTTTCATCTGATTTTTAGCTCTTTCCACTTTCCGGGAACCAGCAATCACAGAGTGTTAATTAGGTAGCTTGTCGTTTGCGATGACAGAAATTCGGCGAAACACGACAGAGAAAGAGAGAGAAATTCGTAATCGACGCGTGCAAATGCTTCGATAGGAGCACGCACCAAGTCGATGGTCGTGAGTACCAATCTTCGTAGGGTTCAAAGGGTTAATTACTTTCCAATTATAGGCGATGACATTTGAATCTGACGTCTCATCGTGAGATGAGAGCGAGAGAGGCGGGAATGAGAATGATTGAAAACCGTGCGATCGCTTTGATACGACACAACAGAAGACAGAAAGAGGGGAGAGAGAGAGATTCTCTGAGAATCGACGCGTCATTATTGAATCAGCAGAAACGAAAAGATTTGATAGTATCCGTGAGTTGTATCATTATACTTTCTCTATATTTTATTCTTATTTGTTGAATGTCATTTTTTTAATCCGAGTTTGTGCGTCGTTCTTTTCGAGATGATGGTTCGACGAGGAAGAAAGAGAAAAAGTGGAGGGAAAATTGAAGAGAGTAATACCGGTGTAGTCAGAAAAAGAGAGAAAGAAAGAAGTCTCCCCCGCTTGACTCTTTATTTTCGATTTCCGAAGTAATCGTGACTGGTTCATTTGAACAAAAGGAAATTTTGATTTTCATCTCGCGAGACAAAAGAGAATTTAATTGCAGCAGGTTTATTATCTTTTTTATAGCAGGTTTGAATTGGATATTCTGCAATATTATTCAAATTTTCAATCAAGTTTCTTAAATTTTTTGTTCTTTTTTCATATTTCATTATTTTATTTTATATTTCATATTTCGTTATATATATTTTTTATTCTTATTTTTATTATAATTTACTTTCAATCCAATGATTGTTTTAAATGTTGTTTTCTTTTGTCCTTCTTTGGAGGCTTTAGGCGATTTTTGGCGATCATTTGGCGCATATACGAAATTTGCGAAAATTGCGCTATTGGTAGGGGCGGAGTTTATTCTGATTTACTTATTATAACTAAAACAAGTAGTGTGTATGGTAAAATGTATGGTGTATTTTCTTCTATATGCGCAGATATATTTATAGGCTCAAGTTTGGTTGTAACACCCGAGCCCAAAAACAAATTCATATTATACATTTAACACGAATAGATACGTAAAATAGATACGTACACATTGTCTACATATATTCGTGTTATGTTTGGCGTGTATTTGTAACTTACCAGAAAATTACAAGGGATACCTCGCTTCGTTACTAGGTATAAGCGTGACATCAACCAGGTAGATGGCAAAACGACACGCCTCTACCACAAATTACCAAACACGCGTAAACGTTCTGGTACAGTTCGGTACACTTTGGCTGCTATGCCCGGGCCACGCCAAAAATCGCCTTTCTTTGCGTTTGCGCGCGCAAATCGGTGGAATGACAAAAGAAAGAAGCAAGACGCGACCAACCCTCGCCTACTGGAGTATTATAGGAATCATTAATATATTATCATTCATTATCGCATGTAATAGTAATAGTGATAAATAATAACAATAAGATTAATGATAATGATAATATCGGCACACAGTAATAACTAGTGATGTAATCTAATTTAATGTATTAATTTATTAATTAAGTTTTGACAACGTGGTACTGTATCGCTATTCTACGTTTTTGCTAGTTTCTACGTGGCGGCTCGAGGTCGAACTTTCGATTGAAGTTTTGTCAGACTTCCCGTGCTCTATACGCTCGATCCGATCGCGCCGTATGTATGTGTCAGGCGTTCGGAAACGCGAGAGAAGGGAACTCCCCACGACATGCGCTGCTGTGCGTCGACTTCGTTCGTGTATTGTTCGTACAACGGCCTCGCCGCAATTATCTCAATAACAACGAGAAAGAAAGAAAAGTATCAATCGAGTGTCTCCTTTTTTTCTTCTTTTTTTAACCATCGTATAGTTTTCGGATAATTCTGTGGATATTCCTGGGGACACGCCGGTCTCATGGAGTGAGAATCCATTCCGAATCCACCTGTCTCTTAGGGAATTCCACAGACAGTTCCATGGGCATTTGTGTGCCGAGGAAAATCACGCGAGACGGACGCACGGGAAGGTCGCGATACGTTTCACATCGAATTCGGACTGATCCTGATCGATTCCAAATATCTGTCTGTCTGTTGTCAACTAAATTCGCCATTGTTACTTCTTCTTCTACTTTTTCTTCTTCTTCTTCTTCTTCTTCTTCTTCTTCTGCACGCAATGGAAATGCGTACAAGTATGGCAGCGGGACTATTTCAACCGCAACACTCGTTTCTTTCGCTTCGCATCCACTGATTTTCCATTTTCTAGATAAGGCAGCTTTCAGACGGGCAATGAGAGTACAATTATAGGATAAACATCGGCCCGATGGCTTTTTTTACATAGACAGCAAAAGTTAATTGCCTCCTCCTCCTCGTGTATTCCGCTATAAAATGACAATACAATAAGCGAACGCGATACGCTTCGTGTCGGGATTTCGACAGGAAAATCAGGGCGCGCCTCGCTCTCGTATAATCCTCGGATCCAGCGGGTGTCGCGAATTATATCCTTATGGGTGTTTTTTCCTCGCGACGAAGGACCAAGTCAAATTACGACTCTCGCGAATCGACCTCACCTTCCTTATCGCTCCTCGAGCGCGACGGGGATAAGTGTAAGCATGTGAGTGTAAGCGCTTTCGCGACACCCGATGCATTCTGCAACGCAAAGGGAAATCAAAATTCCATATCGACTTCCGGGAATACACCAATCGTTTGCCACATAACGTACCCTAAGCGCCGTTACATAACGATGTTGACGACTACTTCCAGCTACTTGTCTGTAGATACACCGAAGAAGATCGTTGTCCTTGCTGAAAACTTTTTTATAACGCGGAAACTCGGAATTACAGTTCGACGATGCCAAAATAGTATTAAATAATTAGGAGCAATGTTTGTAATATATAATAGTGTGACGTACAGCAAAAAAAAAACGAAGGAACAAAGCGGGGTAAGAGGACTAGATGTGAATCGAGCGATAAGTTTCGTATTGTTTGTCCTGCGATCCTCATTTTCGCGATTCGCAGCGATCGTCAGATGAGATTTTTGGTCGATGTCGATATTAATCAAGACTTCAGAGATTTAAAAAAAAGATCATAAGTTTCACGCTCGTAAAGATTAATGGCATAACGCCATTATTGCGCAATGAATATAAAGTAGCGATAAATTTTAAGTCGTACGAAAACGTCCTCAAGATTCCTCGCGATTGTCAAAACATCGCAAAGATATTTCATCATTGTGCATTCACGTCTCTTTTTGGAAGAAACGACAGAGTTTGTCTCTTTACGCTGATCCAGAGCTAGTTCACTTACTCTGCAGAATCTCAAGTATAGAGTGACAGGCAACGAGTAGTTCGATGGTTGCGTGAATTTCTGTACGAGGAGAAAAGAAATTTCTGATATCTGATTACAATACAGAGAGATTAATTAGCAAAAAAGGGGAGAGGTTACAATTGAAGATAGAGAGCGACGGCGAATTAAAAAAGAAATAAACGTTGAAGAGTGTATTTTTTCTTCCAATGCCAAAAAGATGCCATTTTGTTTTGTACGAAAAAAACAGCGAGAAAATCCATAAAAAAAGAGAGAAAGGGAGAGAGAGAGAGAGAGAGAGAGAGAGAGAGAGATATGACGAAGAGGCGGATGAAGGAGAACGTGCGTAATAAAGGAAAGTGCGAGAACAAATTTTTTAAATAGTTTATAGCAAGCGTATGAATGTGTATAACGATAACGAAAAAGCAACAAAGCAAAAGAAAAAAAAAGAGGAAGCAGATCGAGTCGATGTATATGTCCCGCGAAATCGAGCACACACATTAATTTACCACCAAGAACGATCGGCGGCAGATAGATGAACGGTAGATGAACGAGATGTTGGATCGTTCGAAATCGCGAGCATAGATTTATTAATAACGAGCGGAACGGGCAAAGTAGCGCCGTCCATCTTGAATATCTTTTAAGGATCCGAGGGCTGCACCAACATCAGTTGATGAAACGTTGACAGCGTTGAATAATCCGCGAACTTTTGATTTATAGAGATATTATTATATAGATATGCAATCGCGCTTTAGTGAAAAGATACGGGGCGATTCGTGTGTGTGTGTGTGTGTGTGTACATATATATACACACATATATATACATAAAAAATACATATATATGTATATATACACACATCCGCAAAGTTGCTGGAACCGCGCGAATCGTTGGTGCAACTCCGGAGAATCTCTGATCCGCAATCACATATGTATGTGTAAGGATGTAGCGTTACGTATACACCGACCACATATGTGTACATATATTTTTGGATAAAGCCATGAGAAAATTTTAAAATCGAAATTCGGGCGAGGACGCGCGAGAACGTGATCATCTCTCGGCGCATTCGCGGCTTCTCGCGGGATTAGCGAGACTCCTGTTCTTCCTGTTGGATAAGAGAGCGAAGTGAGCAAGTGAGACCGAGTGAAAGAAGCGAAAGCATGAGAGAATGATCGAGTGAAAGAGAGAAAATTGATTGTCGAGAGAACTTTCGCGCACGTCGCTCCCCAGATGTATTTATGAATATTTATTTACGCGAAAGAGTGTGGAAGAAAATTTAATATATTGACTATTAAAGAAATGGTCGTAAGTTATAAGTGTAAGTTTTCTAAGAGCCATCGACTGTAAAGCGTTCTTTGGCAGACATCTATAAATGAAAGGTCGTCTCTCGCGCTCGATTAAAGCCGCGGCGCAAGTCGCAACGGCGACCAAGAATAGAGAGAGAGAGAGAGAGAGAGAGAGAGAGAGAGAGAGAGAGAGAGAGAGAGAGAGAGGAGAGACAAGCGAAAGCAATGGAAAAAAAGACTCAGCTTGCGCGGTGAATGAAAGCGTTTTTCTTTTTTTGAGATAAAATAATGAATTTCGTTCAGGACGCGTAGACGGACACCCACGCTCTCTGGATCGCGTCCACTTAAGAATTGAATTATGCTTTAGAGTAACGCTAGCGAGTACGATATGTAATAAGTAATGAAATAACTGATTTTAGCTATCGATGACTATTGTCGACACACACACGTAAGACACATACATTTAGACAAAGATATGTGGTAAGTCAGATGTAATTGTCCTTTGTGAATATACATAAGAGAGAAACGAAAAATACAAAAAACTTTTATGAGTACAGCCGCCTTTTCACTCTTTAATCATTTGTCCTTGCGGTCAGCTGCGACTCTTTCTGCCTGTAATATTGCACATTCCACTGTAGAGTCCTTGAGTAGCAAGTAACTGACATGTAAATCTTTATCTTCCGATACTGTATCCACAGTATGATGAGCTTATTAATCAATATTCAGTTACACTCATTTTTCCTCGCTCTCCTCGATCCTTTCTACAGATAACAAAAGTGATTGCAGGTGTTCCACTTGTGAAACTTCACTATCCTTTTTTAATTCTAATATCATGTGCCTGATGACAGGTATCCAGGCACGACAGATGCTTGCATGCTGCATCATAAGATTAATGTGGATCTTATCAGCTTGCTGGATATCTTTCCTCAGCAATGCTGAAAACATATATATTCATTCTAACAAGTCTACAAAAGCAACATATGGATGCAAGAATTTGATCGTTACCTTTTGATATATCCAGAATACTTCTTTGTACTGTATTATTTAGCTTATCTTGTAGCCAATCAGATTTCATGATATTCAATCTCTTTTGTAACTCCTGTAGTTTATTTTTCTCTATACTCTGTTCCATCATCATAGACTCTAGATTGTCTATAACTTCTTTCAAAGCTTGATCTTTGTCGAAATCAGACTCCAATGATTTCGTATCCTTGGCAATAGGAGTCACAAGGGGCTTATGGGGAGCTGTAGTTAACTTTAAGGAAGACGGTGAAACAGGAGGCATGTCGGATGGAAGCAAGGGACTAGTTCTCTCTAAAGCAGAGGTCTGTGAAGATAGTGGGAACGCCACCCGTTTGTTCAACACTCTCTTACTGGATGTCCCATCGGAGGAACATTGCGAGGACATAGCCCTCTCTGGAGGATCGTTCCATCCGGGATTGTAAGACGATGGCAATGACTTCTGACTAGAGACCAGTTCGCTCGAAGATGAAGGAATCTGTTCCATGTTCGCGTTTATAGGTTAAGGTTGGATTTATAGATTAAGACAGAAAGACATTGCAAGATCTTGAACTGGATTGATCAAATTAACGAAAAATGAAAGATAAATCACAATTGAATCAGGTTGTGTCACCGATAAATGTCTTCGACATCAGTCATCCTGGAACCATTCTTCTCAAACGTCACGCGTATCGAAACAGTTATCTAACAATAAATTATTCGTTGAACTAATCACATAGGAATCTTCGCCAAACTTTAGATTTATTTTAAACTTACTTTGGACTTACTTTAAGTTTTCAACGATAGGCAAGTAGGAATTATTCGACCCTCAGTAACGACACTTCGAATACTCACAATCAAAACAATTCAAACATTCTTCATCATTTAAAGACACCTGCGTTTAATGACACCTCAAATAAGAGCTCATGAACAATGCAATAATTGGTTGGCAGGAATGTATTTACAAGATCGAAACTAAAAAACTTTCGATTGTTTGGCAACTACTGGTGCCACCTAGCGATGGCGCGAAGATACATTAGGCTCAATAAATTTGAATTTCAATTAAGCAGGGTTTGCACATTTTGGTTCATGAGGCCTTGAGTTTCTGCTAAACGACCCGTTACTTTTATTAGGTACACCGACCGCTTCAAACTAATGATCACATTAACGGGATAACAGCTTAAATATACGGAATAAAAAGCACAAGTTACAAACAATAGCCTAAGTCACTTTTATTAATATCCTTTCTCTAAAGCAATGCTTCCCAAACTATTGTATCGCATGAAACTCGGTAAAAAAATATGCATCTCTATAAAGGATTGATTCTACAAAATTTTCGTTGTCACATATTATTATATACATATCTATTTTACTTTCTATATAGATGTATACATATACATCTGGCTTATTCATACTTTTTGACAGTATAATAAAAAAAATTAGTTGTTGAATATAATATACAATCAGTAACAAAATAATAAACAATCACAAAGTCGGTAAATAAAAGCTTTTATATTTTAAATTATCTTAAATAATTTTTAAAAAAGTAAAAGAATATTGTACTCTCTTTTCATTATTGCAAGATGTAGCTCGGGAAACATCGCTCTAAAGCAATGTGTCCGCATCTTTTCCTAATTATATTAATATCTGCATATTTTTATCTATGTACATAGATGTGTATCTGTAACAAGCACATGATTCAACAAGCAGCTCAAATCATGTGTAACGAAGCGCTACTAATGTATATCGTAATTATTATAATAGTGTTAATTGACACTTTTAGAATTATGACTCTAGCACAGAGAGAATGTGATAAAATACAAATAAATGTTCAATCAAATGCAAAAGAATGTTGAGTCTGATATATTTGTCTCTGTGCGTTTGATATGAGACGGAAACTTCTTGCTAGCCACATTCACTTGCCTCCTGCCATTTTTTGTGAATCTGCTCTAAATGTTCGTATGCTCGCTTAGAGATGTTGAGTTTGGCATTTATTGGACGCACTCCAGGGAATCCTAGAAGACTCAAACCGCACAGACCTGCCCAGAAAGAAACAATATTATTTCGTTTTATACAATATTATTTCAAAAACTGTCTGCAAGAATATCTTAAAAAAAAAAAGCGCTTAGCAGAAATTTAATCATATTTATTAAAAATACTGTTAATTATTTCTTACTTTTGATCTACATTATGAAACAAATTATTAAATCGAATTCAAAGTTCATATCACTTTAGAGATATCATAATTATATTAACAATCTTTTCTAATATCTGCCACTTTATATTGTATTAGCAAATCCTGTTATAATTCTGTTGGTCAATAAAACTTGAAGCAGACGCTTTACTAAATCTATCGAGACAGATTCGCTGTCCGGGAAAGTTCTTTTCATTCAGATAAAAATACAATAAAATTGTAGTACTCGACACAAATTTTTTTTCCAGAGAATTTGATACTCCCCGCACTTACCCAAATACGCGTGCAAAGGATCGGGTCTGGTGCTCTCGAATTTAGCGAATCCCCCGATTAGTGCATCTTGAGTATTGAGAATGAAAGCTTTATTCTGCTCGGCGTCTGAATAGCAGCTTATGCCAAGTAGATTGAGCGTAGCACCGACCCAAAAACTGTAACACGTGTCGGACGGTTTGCCTGGCCTGCCCTGAAACCCGCCATCCTGTCTCATAAGGCACCAACGCTTCAGACGAGTGAGTTGTACTGGTGATAGTCCCTTGCCTCGAGAATATCTTCTCATCAATACTAGACTTGCCACAGCACAGAAAGTAGATCCTCCGTGAGACTCGAGACCCGGCCCTTGTCCAATACCTCCATCGAATGACTGTAATTATTTGAAATACTTATTTATTTAAATTATTAAAATTATTTAAAATACAATATCATTACTGAAAAAGTTGCACTGCAAGAATACTTAAAAACTCAACGGAGATACAGATTATATTTAATCAAAATATTATCAATTGATATTATAAATTATGAAGCCATCCAGAAAGTTCTTGCTACTTCAGATATCATAACTTTCAATTAATAAAATTATTAATTAACAGTCAAATTAATAATTTTTGACAATTAAGAAGTTTATTCACCAGATATGTATTTTCAGTGATGTATCAAGAAAGTTACCCATCAATCCACTATTTATCGAACAGAATTACATTCTTATTGTATTTACTTCACTATCTAAATGATAAATGTTGATTTGAAATAAATTTCACTACCTTGCCACTCAGAGCAATGCTACTCAAAGTATCAAACAGCAGTTTTCTAACCTACAATTACACCATTACACGGTAAAACGGTGTAGTGAATAATCTTTCTTCTATGCCATATTCCCTAATATATAACATTTATAACTGCAAGTTTTTTACTTGAATGTCACTACTTTTCACAAAGTTATACTGGAATAATGGTTACCTGTATTGCTTCTATCATAAAATTAGATATGTAAAATAATTATGATATTCAGTGTTAAGTTTCTTATGAACAGTGCAAACAAATTGCATAAAACTTTAGCTATGAGTATTTTACTATGACAAGTGTCATATAAAATTTTTATACAATTTTAAGCTTTGCTTTAAGTGAATGAACTTCTAAAACCATTAGAATATAAGCTATCCCTTTTCTATGCAAAGGGCATCAAGCAGTAACAGATAATGACACTCACAATACTCTGCAAGATATAGTTGATGGCTCTTGGGACGTCAACACCTGACCAGTCGTTCAGGATTTCAGAGACACAGCAGGCACAGTAGAGGAACCTCATGTCACTTTCACAGCCCATCACCATGCCTGTAAAGGATCCATCAGGGTTTTGGCAGGCACGGAGACCTTCAATAATGGATTCTCGGTCGACACGGCTCAAATCGTCGCCCAAGATTAACAGAGTGACTAAGCCGGTGTAAGTCATCGCCAAGTGACCGCAACGGTACTCCGCGACGTCCTTGGGTATGGTCGTGGATGCCTGGAAACCAGATCGAGGTCCGGCTCCTTGCACCTGAAGACCATAGATCCAGTCAATCGCCTGTAGCTTCGCTTCCTCGCCGATCTCATCCAACGAATTCAGCAGGTCCAGGCCGGAAAACGCGAAGTATACGATCATCAATCTAGTAGAGTCAAACTCTACCAGATCGCTGGGCATGATTTGCAGTAACCTCTGGAAATATTTGACGTGCATCTTCCTCGCTAATTTCGGCGGCATGATTGCTGATGCTCTTAGAAATTGAAATCGCTCGTAATCAGTGGTACGTGCGTTTCTCGCCGAGTTTCGACGAGAATTTCCGCCGCGTCCCGGTGTAAAATTCACCACTTGTGTGCGTAATGTTTATCAGTTGTGTTCTCTCTATCTCTCTTGCTCGTCCCGTCAGAACTCTCGAAATCGTACAGATTCGTTACGTACTTTCTTATCCGGTCGCCGCATGTTGTTTTGGTTTTCTTTGGTTTCAAAATTAAATCTACAATTAAAATTGTGCGTTACTGCATCTTTCTTATTTCCGCTTCTTCTTCACCTTGTCATTCGGTCACGTTTGCTCATTTAATACCTGGCGGGTGAAACCAGTTGAGAACTGCTGCGGTATGGAATATCAACTTTCGGGAGTGAAATTGCGGATGCGCAGGAGACAGTGCCAAGCATTCAGAAAATCCCTAGACACAGAGGCTGCATTCCTTTTGGGCGCTCACGTGCGTCACTCTATCTTTCTTCCGCATCTAATGAGCGATAAAGATAAAATGGCGCTTACAGCGCGTGAGCGCCCAAAAGGAATGCAGTCAGAGATGGACAATTCCGGAAATGTGATTGCTATGATTCCGACGTGTCGACGGTGGCGACATTTCGACTCTTTTACCGGGAATTACAAATTATTCAGTCACCGCCCACAACACGCGCGTATAAGAGCATGTAGGTGCTGATAGTAGAACACGCGCTTATGTACATATGTCACTTCACACTCAAGGTTGTATCATGGATTTCAAGATTATATCTGCACAGATTGTTTACGTATTTTTATAATAAGTAATTTGTCATATGGAGACAACCATATTTTTATAATAAGTAATTTGTCATATGGAGACAACGTAAATTACATTAAGGGCCGATTGCTCCAATCTCTTGATAAGCTACAGTTGAATCATGTTTGGCTTCGTTTTTTCTTCAAATTAGACAAAGACAAATATATGATTTAACTATTAGATAGTTTATCAAGAAGTTGGAACAACTAACCCTAAAACATACTAAAAAAACAAAAACAGAAAAAAGCAATCGTTAATTACAAATTTTGGAGCATTTTAGCATGCTGCAATGGATAGACTACAGATTGACAATGACAACGACAAAAGTTTTCTAATATCGCGCGCTATTTCTTTAATAATAATTATTATTATAATAGTGCCGCACTTTACAACGCACGATTTAATCATAAGACGAGCAGTACGACACAGTAGTATTCTCTATAATAAATAAACTCTCGCAAATATTACATCGCTTCACAGCGCGCGCGTGACGCTTACGCGCGCGCACCATAAATATATACTCGCTTAAATAAATATATCTTAATCGAACATGGACGTATATAACATCGAGGAATGCTAATTTACCATTCGTCTAATAGTCGATAACGCACTAATAAAACTTTGAGGTAATAAATAACCGTGTGATTACGGGTGATCAGGTAACGATTCAGCCGATTCATCCTAAACGGATCGAGTCGTTATAGCAACAGATCAGCAGGTACGCTGCTCGGTAGTGTGACACCGATACGAGTCGTTATGTAGGACGCGACCCTGCATCCCGATTCCAAACAACTCTTCGGGTCCCAATGAGCCAAAACACCAGCCAGGAAGCCAGCCACCAGAGCATCTCCGGCGCCCGTGGTGTCTACAACAGGCGCCTTCGGTACAATGGGTGGTACCTGAATAGAAAACATTTGTAATAATTAAATATTTTTAATTGCACTGTAAAGAGACTATTCTATACTTTTCATTATTTACTAAAGTACTAAAGTATTTACACGAGGAGAATTTTATAGTAATAGTTACTGTAGGATTTTGTAATAAAAAAAAATAGATTCCCTTCATTCTTTTTTTAGTTATTGATACACTCCAAATAAAGTTGTTGTTAGATTGCATTTAATGCTTGAAAGATTGCAAGTATATCGATTTGTTTTATGAACGGTAGTTGGTCAGTAATAAAACTCTCAAGATATAAGCAATATCAGTATCTATTTATAAGAGACCCAAGTATCAAGAAAACATTTTAAATATTTGTGCTTATCTAGATTCCAACAGAATTTCTTTATTGTAACAAACCTGAACAGATTGTCCTTTACCCCACACGATAATCGCCGGCGCGGATCCACCGCGTGTCATGACGAATATACCATCGTCGGCCAACCAGTCCTTACTGGTAGAGCTGGAAACGTCTACTGTGATCCTCTTTAGGCTATTCAGCAGGAAAGGTATATCAGTCACATCATCATATTTAACGTTCAACGCCTGCGCCAAGGCGATCATTTCTCTCGCGTTGCCGAAAACAATCTTAGCATGACCGACCATTTCGCAAATTGCTGGATGATGATCCTGTAATAATTGAGAGCGATTAAACAAAGCGAACGCCCGATAAAGCGTTAATAATTTAACAGAAAAATAAAAAGGAGTTATAAACATCGCTCTCCAATGCGTATCACACGCTATATAATTTTTATATCAGCGCTCGGAATTCCTTTTAATTTCGAGACGATTGACATTATAACATCTAAAACAATAGAGAGGCTTCACGATAGTTTTCAAACAACAATAAAAAATAAGAATTGTAGCCAATATGAACTTAGACACAGAAGTTGATGTGCAAACCTTAAATAAATTTTAAAATAAATAAATAAATTTTAATTATATCCCAAGATGTCTGTAATATAATAAAACTTCCATGAGCGTTGGTTTATACCTTGAATATATAGAGACCACTAAGATTGAACGCTATAATAATATTCTTTTCTTGCGCCCGTTTAACCAGTTCTTTGGCCACTTCCAAACTGTGCGTTATAAAAAATCCCTCGATGTAAATTATCTTCACATTATCGAGTCGTAAATTGACTTTCTTGAAATCATCCAATGTATATATATTAGCCGCGCCGAGGTTCGCAACGAGACTGCGGGATGCGCCGTTTACAAGCGAAATGCATAATCCCGTTGGTAGAGTCGAGTGCACGGCGTATCTAATAAAATATGAAGAAGAAATCATATTTATCTCATTCCACAAAGCATGCGAAAATACACGTATTTTGTAGATATTTTGAATACAAACCTTACATCCACTCCTGATAATCGGACCAGTTTCTCTAGTACTGAACCTCTTTGATCGTTTCCAATACCACCGCAGAAAGTACCGATGTGGCATTCATGAGTCTCATCGCAAAGCCATTGCAAAATCCTCATTGTATTCTGTGCAGATCCCCCAGGACTCACTCTTTGTTCCAACCTACAGAACATAGAAAATTTCCACATAGAATTTCTTTAATAAAAAAAATTGTGAGAATTAAATATTTCTTTAATGAAATTATAAATTTATAGCTATATATATATAATATGCACTTATATAATCTTTGGTCACACAAGTATCTTACCAAAATTAACGATTGAATTTAATATTAATAATATAACAGCTTATGGAGTCTATAAATCTTATAAAATACTGATGCTTGCACTGTTTATTTTTGCAATCTATTAGCATAATCTATAGGATAAGGTCCACAATTCAGATACACACAGTATTCATAAAAATAGTATCCAATCGATGTAAATCCAAGAATCAATATTGATAGAAACACAGGCAATCTCTTTCATATTTGCAAAAATCAATTATATATAAACTAAGATACAACAAGATATGCAGGTTGACTCAGAGTACTTATTCATTTTTGCTGATATAGTTGCATAACATCTCTGTTTCTTTCACAAAATTGACTTGTGAACCTCTGTCAATCAAAGCATTGCTTTACTTTCTTTTTCTTTTTTTGCTATTTGACCCTGAAAAGTTGACACTTATATACAGTGCAAACACAAGACATACTCCAACAAATATACTCATTAACTCTGATGGTAAATCTGCTATCAGCTCTTGTATCTTTGTCTCGCACAGCTCAGTCTCATCATCTGTTCTGAGATTGTATTTTTTAAGTAAATCATCATTTTGCAGCACTACAAAGATGTCCAGCAGAGGATTGCCAAAAGCTGTGATTGCCGGATAGTCTAGTCTAATGATAGCTTTTCGCAATGGAATCTTCTCCACCATTTTTTGCATAAGAAAGTGAACCTTCAACGTTACTGACGTCAGTCCTCTACAAATATACAAGAACATAAATGAGTACAATTTCACAAACTATGCAAATCTCTACTTGTTTTCGCTCTATACTCACATAACGAGCCGAATTTCTTAGATCATCATAACATCCCAGCAAACGTAATTTAAAATAATCGCAAGATTACGTATGAGTGAAGATGAAATGTAACTAAGACACATCGCAGGTGTGCGATGCTACTTCTAAATCACACAATCCGATTTATAATAACGCGAATAAGTAAATAACTGTCAAGTAACCAAGGGAGAATCACGCTTTACCTAGAACTCTTTCTCCTCCATTCTAACACGTCGACGAAGAGTTGTGCGATTCGCGCGTACGTTTCAATTACTCCGCATTCATTCCCGATGCTACAACATACCGCCGTCTGTCACAAATTCACTCTAACGCATATATCAATCGCGAGTCTCATCATAACCTAAATTCTAAACTACCAGCCGACACGACCACAATTTTATTTCTTCTTCTTCGTGTTGTTCCAACGAATGGGCCGCCCTCTATTCCAAGAAATATGCCGGAACTACAATGCACTTTGTGCGGTCGGTAAAGTCGACCATCGAGTTGGCGCATGCGGCGCACGAAGAGTGACAGATACGTCGAATACGGCCAAGCGGTTGTGCGTGTTTCCTACGTCTGACATAACAGTTGCGTGTGATGTTCTGAACATCAGTCCTGCTGCTCGATTTACGATTCTCATCACACAGCTCGTTCACCGTACGTTATCGTCATGCCATTAAAGCCAATTCGTATTTATTAACGACATTACCTCGACGAGATTGGCTATCTTGAATCGTTTGCGCATCGGGTACTCGAGATAGTGTGCCACTAAGAGGCTAGAATTTGGTGCATGAAAAATTCGTCCTAACGGTACCGCGATACTTTCCCCGTAAACGGAGATCTCGTCTTGGTCGGGACGTGGTGCGAACGTGTTCGTTTACGCGACGTTTCCTTCGAGTTCCGTTGCATTCGCACGACGCCTCTGTACATTCTCGGCGAATTTGCGCACCGTCGATTTATGCGCCACAGCAAAAGTAATGTCCTACTTGGGTTTTTACGTCGCGGGGTCTCTCGGTCGTGTCGGATCGTTCAGCAAGGAGAGATCGGCTTGATTTACGCGTTTTCTTTCGTTTCACTGCTTTTTCTCATAACATTCGGGATGCAAACGGCAACGGAATAATAAATCGAGCGAATCTCCGCGGAGAGCTCAGGATCGACCATTCGCCACCGACTGCTATTTACAGGCTAGAGAATTCGGAAGTGACATTCCTTTCGCGATTCCTGTGACGCACCGGGACGTGACACGAATGCCTACCGTGGAGATTGTGCGTGTCGAAAATTTCATTTAAATTGTAACATGTAAATTGTTTTTTTTTCATTTAAATTATTGTATTATTAAATAATTCAAATCGCGTTGATGTTAGGACTAACTGCCGTTATACTCTCAATGAAAATTTAAGTAGCAGAAATTATTCAATGTTACACAGCACTGTGTTTTGTAATTTGTAACTTTGTGATTGACTGCTTGCTAATCTAACTTCTTTCTTTCTATATTACAGATGGCAGCTAGTGCACTTGAAGAAAAAATTAACAAGATAAAGCAACAAAATGAAGAGATTAGAAGAAGATATGAGGTAAGAATTAAGTGACTCTATCTGTGACCATTGCATATAATGCAATAATGGGATTTGTCATTTAGGAAGTAGAGGAAGATAAGAAAAATGCAGCTAAATTGAATGCGTTGGTACAAATGGTACCATCTACAGATTGGCCAGAAAGGAAGGAACCACCAGAATTTTCTAATCCACCTCGAGCAAATAATAAACCAAAACCTGCCAAGGAACACCATGAACATCCTCAGCAATATCACGCAGCGAGTGGAGAAGGAAGAAAAGTTCATACTTTTGCTCAGGTATAAGACACTATAAATTAGGTGATATCCAACAATCTTTTTAATACATAATTGCGTGATATCAGTTTACTTTTGTTATTTTCAGTTAGAAAGTTGAGTGGTCTTTGTCACACCTTTTAATGTACTATTATTACAGGGGCAAGGACCTCCACCTGATCCTAAATATAATTTCCTCGCTGATTCTGAGAGAGAGGAAGGCAATATAGAGAATATAAAGGATAATCCCACGAATAGAGGGCAGAAACATTCAAGAGGCATGTTCAAGAGGAAACTTGGAGGAAAGGATGGTATGCAAAGAGTGAGTTCATTTCCAAATATATTTCAGATGTATCTGATCGCATTTCTTCTATCTTAATAACCTTGCTTTGCTTGAAAAGGACTATAGAATGAACAGAGGGTCGCACAGAGATGAGTATCAGCCGGAGTATGAGGCCTGGAGAGCAGAAAGAAATCGTATCGACGAGGATCGTATCAGTAGGCAGAGAACAGCAGAAGGCAATTGGCGTAGAGAATGGGATAACGATAAAGTAAGAGTCGTCAAGATTATGCAAAAAAAGTATTATCATGTTACGACAATGTAGACATTGCACACATGTGATTGTTGCAGGCGCACATCGTGAACGAGGCGACTAGATCTGAGGCAAAATTAGGAGATTACGTGAAAAAGGATCATAAAGATTATGATAGAAGATATCACGTTAATGGTGAGAATTAATCGGAAAGATGACGTTTATATAAGCACAACTACGAATCACGAGTTTATTTTCTTATTGTCAGGCGTTACATGCATTTTTTTCTTGTAGGAAATGATTATGTGCACCATAATCGAAGTGGTAATCATCGTTCTTATCGCGGGAATTCGAAGTATTTTCATAGCAATTATGAAAATCGCTCCAATAACGCGTATCATCAGGATGGACACGCAAAACATCCTTTGTCACCCGGTTCCGAAGGTAGAACCGTTGTCGCTACCGACAAAGGTATCAAAGTCACTCTGAATCAAGGGAACATGGCAAAAGGCCCAGTGACAAGTGTCAAAGGTATTAAAATTAATATGTGCACTGACATATTGCTCTAAAAAGGAAAGTTCATTGAGATATCTCAACCAACTGTTCAACGTTCATTGTTTCAGTGAACTCTCCGAGTATTGCAGGAACAGGTAGAGTAGGGCCGCGGCAAAGAAGTCGTGTTACTTATAGCAGTCACTCCGACGTTGAAATAACTTCCGGTGAAACCGACTCTTTTTCACGGCCGAAGTCTTTCGAGGACAAGACCAAAGGTATTTATCACGATAATCTCCAAAGATCCCCTAATGCGCGGAAAACGCAACCTCTGCAGAGGAAAAAGGAGCTTGGCAATAAGTCACCTTACTTCCGCAAGAAAGAGATCGGGAGGGAAGATACTAACGAAAATACGCAGAAACAGCACGAAGTGGAATTAAGGCCATCGTATGCACGGGTAGAATATAAAGACCCACTAGAGTTAGAGGCCAAATCTGAGAAGCTCGAAGAGAACGTAGAACCACTGCAAAATGATCACGCAGGCGCAAAAGAAAGCGATGTAATTGCTTGCAGTGAACCTGACGCGAAGGCAACAGAATTAAACAGTTGTGACAGTCAGAACGATGATTCAAGCACACAAATGAGTATCGGTGAAATTCACGCAGAGATCGAAAGCGACTCGACTTTGACGAACTTGGCACCTGTATCCCAAATTAAAACGGAAATCGAAGTTTTTGCAGTTGATACGGCGCAAAAAGAATCGAATGAAACAGAGATTCAAGCAGCTGCTTTGTCCGAATGTAAAACAATTGAAACGGATTCAACAGCAGCAATGAAAGATACAGATTATAATGATAAGAATGAAACGAAGTTTACGGTAGACACGCCGTGTGATATTAACAATGATACTGAGGAAACTGTAGAGAAAAATAAAGAACAGAATTTGTCAACGGAGCAAACTGAAGAAATCGATAACTGTGATAATGAGCGAAATGAGAATGCAGACCAGCAAGAGAACGACGTTGATCGTGATACGAAGGATTCTCCGGACGAAAAAGAAGCAGATAATGCGGTAAGCTCATCTCCAACTGATGAGTGTCTCGTAATGGGGGAAATTACAGAAATTTCCGTGATGGAAGAAAAACCGAAAAACAACGATGAAGCTTTAAAAAAGGAGGAAATTACAGCAGCTGATAAAATCGCTGTTACGGACAAAAAGATTAACACCGACGACAAGCAAGATACAGTAACATGTATCAATGAAACTCAGGAACGCATAGTCGTTAATAACGAGGAAAAAAAGAGCGACACCACAAATGACATTGTGGTCGACAAAGTGGAGTCTTCAGAAGACGATCTGCAGGCAGAAAAAGAGAAGGTAATTTCTAACCAAGTGGTTGAAACTGAGAAATAATAAAAGAGAGAGATATAAGGTAAAAAACGAAAAAGAAAATATATGTACGTATAAAATGTTACGGACGTAACTACAAGTTACCGATAACGTGATAAGAGACGAAGCTTTTATAATTATAATTGTTGAAACGTGATATCTCAAAAGTCAATTTTTATGGCAATATACGAGTTGAATATGGAGTTATTCGAATAGTAGTTTTCGGGAGAAAACGAGTTTTTACTCTCGAGATAAGACACCCGGGTATCGCGTGGACGTCGCCATCAGTTCCGCCAAGCTTATAACTCACCGCGCATTGCGATTTTATTTTTATTTCAGAATTTTATACTCTGTTGCACAACTATTCCGTTTAATTTTATTTCCGATTCTCATTGAATTGCTACTGAGAATCAGATTAATATAACGTTTTATATATCATAGATACATACTTCTACGTTAACAGAGTAATGTAATGTTCTTTTAGTCATTGAAGTGCAATGACTATCATTCTATATTTCCGAATTTTTATATGAAACGTAACGTGGTAGAAAACCGATCTTTGTGCGTGACAATCAAGAAGTATTTTTTTTTATAATTTGCTTGAGGAATCAACGGGATGTTTAAGATTAACAAAAATGTTAGACTTGTCAAATACGACTAAACATTTAACGATCTATGATGATTATTTATATACATACTTATATATGTATTATATATATATATATATATATATATATATATATATATATATATATATATATATATAAAATACACATATAAGTATATATATGTGTATAATATATCCGAGTAAAGGTAACTTCTGCCGATTGGAAATGTTGTTCAACTTCATAGTTTATACATATTTATTTCTATTTTATTGCTTAATAATATTTATATTTTTATTTTTTTCGTTGCTTTTACGATTCGTTGGAGATTATGATTACAAAATCTTCAAAAGCCCATGCGATTCGAATTGAACTCTAAATTGTTCCATCTTTTTGAGAGAACGAAATTGTGTAGAATACGGATACATATTCGATTATTAATTTTTTTATCATTCATATATATCATATTAGAGAAATAAACGAGTAGCCGAAGCTGGTCGTTAAGAACGACAGTAGTGTATAGACAAGCTCTCTGAGAAGAAAAGTTTCTTCTCTGAGAGTTGAGCCTGTTACTCTTTACTTTTTTTAATCATTTAAGAGGAAAGGCGTGACGTTGCCATAATCAGTACTGAGAAATTTCGAGTTTCCATAATTTTTGTTATTTTCAGCCATCAAGCCTTTTGCATTTCTAAGGTTATTTTAATGTGAGCAAAGTGGCAATAAAGCATTGTTAATGAATCGAATTTCGTTTACTACTGAAACACCGATCCAAGATCCTTTGTTCACGAGATTCCTCTCACAAGTGCAGCGAATTACAAAACAAGTCTAAACACAGTGAAGTTAGGAGTTCCGCCAACTATCAAAATTTGAAGTCATTACGGTCAGACTTACGCAGTAATATAATTAACAATATAATTAAAAATAATATTAAATAGTAATAACTATAATTAATAATATAATTATTATCATTAATATAATTACTAAGAAAATCCATCAGTAATGATTTACAGTTCTGACAGTTTGATAAGCCCCTAACTTCATTGTGTTTGAACCGTATTGTAATCCACTATACCCGCCTAGAAGTAAATAAAGAGAAGTTTTCCTTATCGCAAGAATCCTACAGAGGAATGTAATTTATCTCCTCTGTCAGTTCTTCCTGGTAATATTCGTTCTTTTCAACGATGCTTGTGTAATCATTCTGGGCGAAGATGCGAGTGAAGAGTATATACGAATCCGTAAAATTTTGCCGATATATTTCCACCCCTCATACTCACATATGGATAATATATATTTCATGTATTCTCGTTAATACGGAGGCCGCTTTACATCATCTGGTTTAACGTTTATAAGTAATACTCTGCCTACACAACACCGAGAGATGAGGTTCGCTCCTCCCGAGACGCCACAAAATATGGATATTTCTGCGAAAGCGCTTTACAAGCCTACGCGTGGCCGCGGTACTTCCGCTCACGATAAGACATCAAAGTCCTGGGGTAGTATTTCCTCGTGGTTTTCTCGATATAATTCCATCCATAACAATTATTCCTCTAAACCATTATTCCACCTCGTCAACTCGATGACGATACGCCGACAATTTTCGTAGGGTAAATAACATTATTCGATCTCTAATACATCTCTCTATTCTCTCTCTATATCGCCACTTCGTAACCACGAAGAGGATTCCAACACGTAACATTCGTCAGACCATTCGTCTGATAATTATTGTCAATATAAAGAAAATGATCCCTTATTAACATTCTAAATTGATTTCATGGAACAGCGCGATATTACTTACATTGTGTCATCGATATATTTATTGATATGAAACATCAATTATGTCATGACCGTAGCCTTACATGTTAACGCTTAACGTCTACAACTCTCGATATAATGTTCAATATTATTCGACAAAAAACCTTTGCTCAATAAATAGTGATACATTATTACCATTATTGTTAATATATATATATATATATATATATATTTATATATTATTGTTATTATCTCGATCGACATTGTCGATCTGGAAGACATTATTGGAAGACTCGTTTCACGATCGTTAATTTACCGTGTCTGCGGGACGCTCATCGACGCCTCGGGGAAAATTTGCGAAGTCCAGGAATCCTTGGAAGGGAATAACCGGTTCTAAGGATTTCTATATTCGGGAGTATGTATCTGGCACAATCTAGACAGCAAAAACTTCTAAAAAAGCTTTGAAGACATCTAAAAGGCGCTCTACTTCCTTAGGCAATGTTTTGAACACCTCCAAGAGGTCTTTTGGAAGTTTGTACCGCCTGAGAACGTACGTCTCAGTAATATGTAACTATCTATAAAAAAGAAAGAGAGAATTAGTACCTTATCAATAATTACTATCCGTACAGTTATTGTCTCGAATTATGATTCCGTTTCCCCGGAGTCGTCAGAGCGTTCCGCGGTTCTCACGGAACGTGTCTACGTTTGCTTACACTCACGCTCCTTAAACTAACGTGCGATCTAACGATATGATCTCTGTCAGATCTCGGAAGACGTTGGATTAAACGGTTAATTGTACTCGGTTGTACATACATAACTTGCTGGCGCATTCTCCTGCGTCCTGTTAAATATACGGCGGACGAACGGCACGGCGGGCTTTATTCTTAATAGCGAATTCGATTGGAAGCACTAGTGCGCACCAGTGCACACTAAGGCTAATTTATAGTCTGTTCTTATATTTCATCTATGTTTATAGAGTTCTATCTTACATTCAAAATCGTTTTATATTTATCTTTAGATGCTATACAAATTGTTATACTAATTACGGAGCATTCGGAAGCGAATTTAAGACAATCTTAAATACAAGAATGGACTATGAAACCGCCTTAGTATGCACTGGTGCGCACTAGTGCTTCCAATCGAATTCGTCATAACTTCTAAGAGAACGCATCCGTCAGATTACCGTCGTCACCTACTCGCGGTAATAAACATTACGCTCTTTAGTGAAAAATTACATCACGAGAAAAGAAACTTGATCCATGAATTATTAGTGGTACAAATAGAACGGTCAAGTTATTGCTGAATATTTGGAGAATTACAAATCATGTTCCAGATAGTAGAAACTTTTAAAAGGTGTTTTAAACTTGTATTAATAGTTGTTATTTGAAACTTGCCCTACGTAAATATTCATATCTGAAGTATGTTGGGCGTCTTTTAAACGTTTTTTAGAAGCTTCTACTACCTCAAATAGAACAGTGATCTATTGCATTGCATTGCATTGCATTGCATTATATTGTGTCGTATTTCTCTTCTTGATATAATTGTCCGCGAAAATGTATATTTTTTATTCATTATCTTTACCCAATTATCTAAACGTTTATCACGCAACGCACATCGCTCTACTTTGTTACCGTGCAAGCCCGCACCGTACTTTTGAAAATGTGACACGTTTCGAGATCTTTATATCGAAGTGTCCAAGTTGAATCGATCGATCCATCGATCGATCGCCGCGCCGTGCCGTCTCGTCGTGACGAACTATTCAACGCGTCGCGTGAAAATGATGTCTCACGCTTGAATTATCCGCGCGAGTACAATTATAAAATCCAAAACAGTAACAGTAGTCAACTATATAAGTTAGTTAGGCTGCGCTCCTTGCAACTGCATCGTAAGGAAGACATCACGGAAGGTGCACTTCTTATAAATCGTCACGTGTTAACCGCGCGCGCTAGATCTACGCTTTGTTTTATCTACAAAGCTCCCGGAACAAGTGAAAAACAATCGGCATGTTGAAGTGCAAATTCGCGTATTGCGAATTCTCTTGTATGAGTGAGAAGACGACAATGCTTCTGCGCTCGCGTCGTTCGAAGGAAAATCGTCTCAACGAAAGTTTGAGGTCGAGAAGAATGTGATTAACAGCCGCGTGCGACCGTCATGTAAAAATAGCATAAAAATGTCAACATGTGTGTGTGTGGTAGAGTCAAAAGTAGATACACGTTTACGCATAATGCAAAACTAATCGCGCTAATCGGTCGTGGCTTTCTGATTGAACACGCAACGCGAAGTAGCCGAACCTCGATTTGCTCAGGCGCTTTCGACATCTCTCCCGGAGATATCCCTCGACGATAATTTCATGAGACTCGTAATGCATTGTTAATTTGCAGGTTGACTATCGGGATATTTCGTCACATAAGCTCCCGTTAATTAGTTCCTAATTCGCAGTATGTCTCGAGGATATCGAATCGCGTCGATGCCAAAGAACGCGGCAGAATCGAGGATCGATGGAAGACGAATAACAACGAACGACCCGAGGCGCGATCTGAACGGCGCGAGATCGCTCAGAAGGGCAGGCCAATCTCGAAAGCGTTGATGAGCGCGGAGCCGGAATCATAGACGCCGATCACGCCGAAGAGGATGCCGAGGAAGATGACGAAGCAGTCGTATGCAACGGCGCTCCATTCCATCGAGTTCCTCTTGAGCTTCAGGTGGAAGTAGCACGGCCAGATGAACGACAGCATGGTGCCGGTGAACGAGCCGATGAAACCCATCAGTATGCTGAAGTGGGGTATGAAGATCGCCATCAAGATGGTGAACACGATCACACCGACACGCCAAGCCAGACCCCAGACCTTGAGCTCGCGGTCCACCGTCCAGATGGTCGGGAAGATCGTCTTCGGCCGGCCGCGGAAGAAGGCGCGCTCCAAGAGCTCGCACGCGGCGTAATACGGCAACGGGTACGAGAGCACGGCCTTGACCACCAAGCAGAGGTTCACCAGACCCTTGAAGCCGGCTGAATGTAGGTTGTTGGTGATCACCTGCTGCGTGTCGTTCTGAAAGGTCAAGAAGCAGATCCAGCCAAACAAGGACTTGAACGCGGCCGCGGCGATGTGGCTCCAATTGAGCATCCAGTCGAACTTGGAGCGATCGATGAGATTGCCCTCGAGAGTCGGCAGAAAGATCTGCGACGTATAGCTGAAGACGATCACGCCAAGCGAAATAGGAAAGTTCTCCATGTCGATCGTCCACTTCACCTTCGACCAGCCCCAGTCACCGATCTCCAGGATGCAGTAACCGATGATGATCGCATTGATGAAGAGGTGAGACATCGTGCACCAAAAGCTGAGCACGGAGACGTGTTGCAGCGACTTAAGGAAGCCGAGCGGCAGCAGAAAAATGCCGACCAGCATCATCCAGCTGCGGGTGTCAATCGCGCCTTCCGGAAATGTGCCGATCATCAGATCGCCGCACACAACCACGTACAGGATGCAGGTCATCAGTAGTTCGATGATCTGCGCGATATTGACGGCGCGAGCACCCAAGGTCGGCCCGAAACACTCCTTGGCGATCGCCACGTACGAATCTCGCACGCGTACCCGTTGACCGGTCACCGTGTCCAGCTCGTAGAGACACTCGACCAAAATCTTGCCGGTGTAGCAGCAGATGTGCGCGATGCCGATCATCGCGGCAATCGCCCAATAACCGCCCCGCAGAACGGCGAACGGCAGCGAGACGATGAACATTCCCTGGAATTTAATGAAGGTCTCGGGCATAGCGATAGTTATGTGTGAGAAAAAAAAAGAAGCGTAATTATATTTTATAATATATATATGTGTGATCACCATTTAATAATAGTATATTATTATATTTCTATTTCTATTTATATTTATAAATGATATTAGTGGAAAGAATATAGTTTTTCCACATCAATTCTTTTCAATTCTACCATGTTTTTAGTAGTGCAGAAACCCAGTAGACACTAACCGTAACATTATATCAGTGTTATAATTTCTCACTCAACAATGTAACTGTTAATACACGCGCATAATACACGCGTTATATTGCATTTACACTGTTGAATGGGGAATTATATTATTCGTGTTATGTTGCTGATAATGTTTACGAAGAATGTACTGTCAGTAAGATCTAATTTGCTGAGAAATATAGTAGACTTCGTCAGGAATATAGAAAATTTTTTAACATTTCCTAAAATATAAATAGTACATGTGAGAAATGGAAGGACAAATAAATTATTGCAGAACATTGATCTATTCTTCAATACCAAACTTCTGTAATTTTGTTCTAATAATCTTATAATTTAATTTTAATTTTTACTATAAAATTCTCCGTGTATAAATAGTATCATTTAACGATATAATTACTATTTAACAATAATATTCAATTAGTGGTCTTTTCATTGTTTTTACGCGATAAGCTAAGAAATATAATAAATTTAATAATTAGATGTTATAACGTTCACAGTTTCAGATAACGTTAATGGAGATTTTTGCGACTTAGTGATACCTGAATAGCGTTTGTAACATTCCAGGCGGCTTGCCATTCATTAATCTTCACGCCCGCAGCACCAAACTCTCCGCCACCCTCGTCGTACTCGCTGAATTCGCCGCTACTCATACTCCCAGTTCGGATTTTATCCCTGAAATTGAAAGGCAGCCCGATAATCGACGGTAGATCCGCAAAAATCGACGCGAAACATTGATATATGTCCTCACCCATTCCTTTGGTAGCTGAAGGAGTCCTCGGCGACCGCGACATTATTTCGATCCCGGTATGCCTGGTCCCCGTTCATCGTCATCATCTCGGTGTTGTCGCCGCCCTCGTCGAATGATTTAAATTGACCCTGACCGTTTCGCCCTTGGCTCATGCCGCCCTCGCCACCGCCGCCTCCGCCTCCGCCACCACCGCGGATCAGCTCCATGCACGGACTGTTCTCCGGCCATTTGGCTTTCAAGGTCTCCCAGGCGACGTTGACCGTAGCTCCGATGGAGGGTATGTAAAATCCACGGAAATTCGCCATTTCCCTATCTGTTGCTTCTACGGCGACATGTTTACTTGTATAATCCCTTATAGGAGTCTCACGCAGAAACAATTAAGGACTGTACAATTGGGTGGTTTTTGTCTGAGGAGGAAGCGAAGCAAAGTATAATCCCATAGTGTGTCTCCTAGCAAGATAATCGGCGTTAGAACAATCAGTGTGAGCTCATAAAAACACATCTCCGCGAAGATCTCAAAACTCTAGATTAATTTCGCACTAGTCGTGTCTCCCAGTCGTATCAATGAGAGAGTCACGCTTACCGGACGACGAGAGATCTGCTGCTGCCGATGTTCTTTCTCGAGGAGATGCCGCTCCTCTGGACGATCCTCGACGGTGGAGTCTTGCGTGATGGCCAACGACGATACGTAGATGTTGCAGAAGCGATTCAACTTAAAACAACCGCGACCCCGGACAAAAGCGGGGCTTTATGAAGGAGAGAGAGAGAGAAATAAAGAGTGAACGAAAGAAACAGAGAGAAAGAGAGGAGGATGGAACCAAGAGTGCGTTTAACTAGCCGGATTGCGAAGCCGCATGATGATGTTGCTCACCTACGATTTACGCCGCGACTTGCGAGGCCAAAATCGCGCGAGCCCTCGATCCGCGGCATCGACTAGCAGGGAACACGACGTTTCAAAAGGATGGGAGATCGGGGAATATGGCCAGTCTGCCCTGAACGCGCAAGGCTCGATCGATGGTCCACGAGAGAGGGACGTGTCATCTCGCGCGTGCCTCTCGCAGTGCTGTATCCGCGCTCCGCTTCTCCCCAAACGGGGGTGAAACGCGTCGCGCATCCTCCTCGACAAGATAAATGCTCTGTCGGGCGCGTAAGTATTCGGTTGTATACTCGGTTCGTTTGCCGAAAGACGCAAAGAAATCACGAGATTCCGCAGAATTTGAACAATGGATGGATGCTAATACTAGAAGAGAATTCATAAAAGTACCATTGCCCTCGAAGAGACGCTTGCTTCACAGCATTATTACATTGCAATTACAATGTTTGAATTATTATTGATTGCAATTAATCAGTCGCGCGCATTTGTATGAAATAGAAATAATTCATATTCAATAGTCTTAGTGATCTTAATTGAATTTATTGAACGAGATTTGCGATTGAACGTGCAGCATTTCGCGAGTAAATCGTTCGTAATGCTGTGCTTGGAAATCCCAAATTACATATATTTGATTGTGGATTTTTGATTGTGCAAAATCCATCGTATCTCACGATAGACAGTGAGTCGCGTGAAAAATCGGAATCGGGATCGTTTGTGGATCTCAAACGGATATGAGATAGTCTTAGTCTTTTTTTTTTTTAATAAATAAAGAAATCAACTTGCATGTATTATGAATCTTCGCTTTTTTACTATATTATAATTAAGAATAATTAATCTTAACTTTACAGTTGTTTGCATTCCCGCGAGTATGCAAGTCGAATTGCACTGTGTACTCCTTTCTCATTCCTAACGAGAGCTTGAGACTCGCGCTGCGACGCACTCGCGACGTCGTAGCGAAATCACCGCCCGTTAGGAGAGGAGCAATCCTTGGTAATAAAACGGGATGTACGCGAAAAAACAACCGAGCTTAACATCTTAAAAGTGCCACGGAAAAAGAAGGTACGTGTACGGTGGTAAATCCACTAAATTTCAACGAAAATGTCCCTCCCTACGAAAACGAACGTAAAGATCAAGGAGAGATTCTTCGTACGTACCGCGTTCGATTGCAAATTACCGTTAGATCATGCGGCTAACTTGAACGTGTTTTCCGTTTTAACTAAAATCACTTTATCAGTCTTCCACGTTTTGTCCAAATAAAAGAAACTACCACCAACGAGGATAGAATATAACGATGTTTTATATGTACACAGGAGTTTTTTTGACGAATGAGAAACAAATAGAAGAAAAAGAAACCACTAGCCCTTACGTGCAGGAATGACACTCCAGAGACATCATCAGTAACATGATGTCAATGTTATAATCTCCCAGTCAACAATGTAAATGCGATATAACGCGTGTGTTATGTGACAGTTACATTGTTGAGTGGGAAATTATAACATTGATGTGATGTTACTGTTAGTTGGTACTGGAACAGATCTCATTTGCGCACCGATCATTTTGTCAATACTTGTTAATGCAATTGGTAACTGGTATTAAATTATTTTGGTTTGAATGACGCATGTAATAATATGCGTTGTTCGTGCGCACTTAAATAATTTAGCCCAAAACTACCAGTTGACGCGATACGTTTCTAACGATCGGTGCGAACTGAGCCCACGCATGCACGCACGTACGCACGCACGCACGTACGTACGTACGCACATCACAGCGAATGTATAAACATCGAAAATCCAGTTCGCTATAACGAGGTCGCGATTACATTACGGCCTAGGCTTTGGGCGAAAAATACGAACTACAATCTGTAGTTTGGGCTCCTTGTATCTCGCCAGCTATGTCGGATTTATAACATCAGAAACGAATGAATATATGTTTAAAAAAGTTGAGTGCCATTTCTGAATAAAGATAAATATGAACGAAAGAGCATTTGAGATTGTTTGAGTACATTTGTAAAATTGTTCGAAAGGTATTTCTTTCCCATGATGATCAATAAATAGTCGTATAATAAATAGTGAAATGAGATGAGTCTGTTTTGTTTGCATACCTCATTTCACCATTTATTATACGACTATTTATTAATCGTCAAGGGAAAGGGATATTTTTCGGACAATTTTACAAATATGCTCAAGCAGTTTCAAATATTCTTTCGTCCATATTTATCTCTACTTAGAAATGGCACACAACTTTCGTCAATATGCTCCTCGTTTCTGATGCTACAAATTCAACATAGCCGCGGCGAGATACAAGAAGCCTTAAATAATACACGCCTATAACAAATTTCTCTTTGTACTATAACTATGTTTCCCATCGTATTCAATATTCCCATCGACGAAATCGTATAGTTTGAAATTAATACGACTGTCGACAGTTGCACAGTTTCGGGTCGGTAGGACTGAAACAACCGATATCATTCCGCTTTCCAAAACGATAGCTTGCTTGGACACAAATCACTTGAACGAACTTCTCTCGTAGCGAAATAAGAGAGTTGTGTATCTCGTTTCTAGTTTTCGTCATGAGAACAAAGTTAGTAAAGTCATCTATGACGCAATGCGGTCACTTTGTACAATCAGAATTGTACAATCGAATAAAATAACAATGGCTTTCTTATAAAAAGAAGTACTTTCAGATTTGATTATGTTCCGAGAAAATACGCTTATAGAAATTATTTACATGGATCATTGCGGCGCAATTGCGTCATCCGATTGCCTCGTTGTCTCCAAGTCACTGAGAGTGACACCGATTGTCTCAGTTCCAAGGTACTCGAACCATCTCGTCTGCGTCTCGCGTATGGAAACCTAACGAGAAAGTGCAAAGCTGTTCGAACTGAGCGTGTGTATGTATATGTGTGTGTGAGTGTGTATGTGTGTATACAATCTCGAGAATGAAACAATTAGATTGAGACTTAGAGAACCAATGGAAATGTTATCGCGCAACGGAAGGAACGCGCCGCAGCTGACAATCTTACTCACTCACATCCCTCTGCGTCTGATGGGAATCGCTATCCGAAGTTAGGCTCTCGATAGCGCTGTCTTGCTGCGAAATGGTCTCGGAGCTTCTGGTCGTACAAAGTTTGTTGGACTTAGCTTCTACTATGCGATTACACTTAATATTTGGATCTATTAAATTCGAAGTTGACGCGGAATGTATAGAAACGTTAGGCTGAGCGGGCACTGGGCGTTGACACGAATGCAACATTAGCTCTGGTCCTCCGCCGTACGTCGTAAGGAAGAATTGCCACAACTCCTCCGGTATTTGGCCGTAATCCGAACCTGCGAGCAAGAAAGAGAAACACGTTTGTAGACAAAGAAGTTTGTCAGACTCACTGAGTCACCTAGTAGTAAATTTACTGATAAGTCAAGCACACTCGAGTAAAGAACTCACCGACTTTGAGACTATTTTGCCCGTTCTTACTTATAACGATGGAATTATTATCGATTGGTCCTGGTGGCTGCGTCTCTTTGCCGCGGACGAAGCTCTGCCACTGCCTCAGCCAAGCCATAGCTAGTCCGTAGATAGCCGTGGGATTGTCGGTGGTGTGATTCAGCCGTTGAAACAGCTCCATCTCATATTGCCTGCGTTTCTGCAAGGATTCGTACTTCTCTTCGCAGGTCGGACATTGGTACAGATGTGTACACGCTGGTCCTCCGCCGAATCTGAAGTAACGAAAAATGGAAGACGAATGAGCATGTAGAAAAGCATACGGAAAATCAATTGGATTGTGGATATCTACTAGATATCATCGTTATCTAAAAACACGTCATCGTTATTTCTCATCAAAATTATTCTATTTCGATGAATTAATAATTTACACGAGTAAAACCAACGTGTATTTTTTAACATCTAACGAGAACTCTTCCTATTTTCCTCCTGATATATAAATTCCTTACAAAAATTTAATAGAAAAATTACAAATCTTTTGCTGCAACCTAATGCTGTATATCAAAGAAACTTACCTACTATACAAGTATTCCCAGACCGCTTGAGGAATGGGCATGCTGATTTTATCGACAAACTGCGCCCTCACGGGGATCACACCTCCGTGTGGACACAGGAAGTCGGAGTTGTCGATCGGTCCAGGTTCGGAGAAGGTGTTAAAGCGATTAATCCATTGTCGCGAAACGAAGAAATTAAGATCGGATAGCTCGCGGAACGAGATCTCCATCAGCTCCATTGTCTTGTCACGTGTCTGCGACATGTCCGGCGACCATTTCTTGTAGAACAGCACGTATGCCTCGCAATGCTTCACAGTTTCGGGCGACACTTCAGTCACGCACTGGTCGTCGAATTCGTACCACTTGTTGGCGATGTGATTGAGCGCGTAGCACGTGTAATGTCCGCCACCGGCGGTGCCGTGATGGCAAATGACCGATATCAGGTTGTAGGTGGTGACTTTGGACACGCACTCCTTGTGCAGGTAGGGTCGCATATCGAGGCCCTCGAGCGGAAAAGATACGTAGTTGGCGATCTTCGAGCTGAACATGAGTTCATGACGGAATCGCTTGAGATGGACGCAGAGTATCTCGGGAAGCTCCAATACCTTGGAGAATTTGATACCGTTGCGCAGCTTATTGCATTTCTCACAGCTATACATGTTGTCGCCCTTGAGCTCATCGGCGCTGAAGAATGCGGAGAGACAGTCGTGTAAGCTGACCACTGGTCCCCAGAACCATGAGCGCATCCATTGCAGGAACCAGGACAGCCAGCCAGATTGGTTGGTCACGTAGACTACGTCTGAACAAGGGCCGGCCTTCTGCGGAGTCAACGAGCCTTGATGCAGCATATCGATGTGATCTCTGCTTGGAATGGGTAACGACAGGTCTTGGAAGGTCTCCACGCGAGTCGAGATTCGATCGCACGTCAGGCACTGCACGCTACTGAGTAGCTTGCCGTCGAATGTATCGCTGATGATGCTACGCGTTTTCATCTGCTTCTTGGTGCGATGTTTGGTCGGCGAGCTCTGTGGCGAGCGTTGCTGCGGCGCGAACGTAGTCGGCTCGACGTTCGATTTCTTCATACTCCTGTTGGTGAACTTGTTTCTGAGTTTCTCCGTTTGTGAGACGCGGGAGTATCTTCTTTTCGTGCCACGTTCACCCTCATCACTTAGCGAGCTCTGTTCACTTACGCCCGAGTCGCAAGTCTCGTACTCGGCGTCGGACTGACTGGACGCATTGCCGTCCATCTCGGTCTCGTCTTCATCTGAGGAATGATCACCCAGACCTTTCAGCCGCAGCTGCATATCTCGGTCGTCTTCAATGTGTTCCTTCAGCTCTTCGTGCAGCTGATCCATGAAGCATCTGAGGAATTCTTGGGTGTCGTGCTGATGATAGCCGCGAAACATTGGATGAACCGTGCGAATACCAGACAGAATGCCATGCGGCACAACGTATCCCCGAGTCCTCTTGTTCCACATGTCTCGAATAAGATTCAAATAGCTCAGACTCAATCCGGGTTTCCTGTCTTTAGACATGTAGTTAACCATAGGACTGCAATCCAAGAAAAACTGCGTCAAGGGAGGTATATTGGACAACGCTTGTAACGCTGCGTTCATGTAGCACGTATTGCCGATGTTCTGCAGGCCCACTAGACCTCTTGGCTTTCCAGAGAAGTCCTTACTCTCGTCTGAGTCAGTACTGTCGGGAGAGTCTCCAGACTTCTCGTTGAATGGACTGCCCTTATCCGGATTTATTTTGTTCACGGACCACTCCCCGTAGAATCTATTGTTTACAGTGACAATATTGCTTATAAGTAATATATTAGATTGAGCCATTGTAGTAAACAACTAAATAGAGAAGTGTTTAATAAAAGAATATCTAATACTAATATATTAGATTAAGAGTCCTTAGAAACACTGTGCACTGTGGCATACAAGTAATGTATCACTGATGATACTACACGTGTGGCATACAGAAAAGTACAAGCGACACACGTAAGTAACAAGAGAATCGGTCGAACGTTCGAGAATTTCAGCAGGTCTATCCACGTGTACATTTAAACTTAACCAATCCTGTTGCTTACTTATGTTTTTCTATTGGACCAACAAACTTCTTTATGAGATCCTATAGGATCTTGTAGGACCATCAGAATCCCATAGATTATAGTGCCTTTATCCCTCAACTTATGTTTCTTTATGGATTATTCCACTAAATAATTAACTAATTAAGTAACTAAAAAACCAAACTAAAAAACTAACACTAAAAGGCATTCCATTAAACCCATCATATTAACCTTTTGCACTCAGATATTTCCTCAGTAGGGACATTTTAAATATAGCAAAGATGTCTCCGAGTGCAAAGAGTTAAAATGTTTTTTACACACAATTTTAATCTCTAAACAATAAGTTAGAGCGAGACAAAATATCTTTGTCAGACAGTTCAGACAAATTAGTTAAAAAGAACAGACCTTTTATTTCACTCTAACTTATTGCACTAGTTTGTATCAATTCAGACAGTTCAGCTAAAAAGAACAGACCTAGAGTTGGAAAATAATGTATACAAAGTAACTTGTAACACAATTAATATTATTTCTTTTGCAATGTTTCTTAAGCAATGTTTTGCTAACCATATTATTTTTTTATTAATAATGGTAAAGATAGGGTAATTATATTTTTGCAGTAACAATGATGAATATAATTGTTACTTTTTATTTACATAGGATATATGTATATAAAATGAATAAAAGTAAATTCCAGGAAAGTCCTTGAAATTTAGTGCGATTAAACAAATTGTAACCACAATGAGTTGTTTCTTCCAACAAACAAGAAACAGTAAGAAATTATTTTTTCAATGGATAAAAGATTAGTTTTATTAATGAGTAACATGTTACTTTTCAAAAGCAACTTTCCCAGTCTTGGCTAGAATGTTTTGAAGCATCAAACAGAATATATCCTATGTTATTTGCTGGACAGTAAGTTCCCATCTATTGTACCATTTGAAATCACTTACTTATCCAACATAATCCTGTCCAAGCCATCCAGCTTGCACTCAATATTGTTAGGAACGTCTCCGGCGAATTTGTTACCCATCGTCTTGAACTCCACCTGTGTAGGCGACACAGGTGGTGAGGGTACATGCCTAGCAAAGACTTCCCTCTTGCAGGAGTAGCACCATATCCTGTTCGTGGACAAATTCATGTGGGCGCAATGGCTGGGGAAGTTTTGATTGTGAATAGTGCTGTGATCGAGATGCGTCTCCGCACAACCGACCCAACGACAATCGGGAAACAAGCATAGCCAGAGGTTAGGTCCGTCCGCATCGCAGTCGCTGCACTTGACGAAACGCTCCTCCTGCGCAACCACTGCCTCGATGAAGGCGAGGTCGCCGCGGTTGGCCAGGTGCGGGCAGTTCCTCACGACGATCGGCATTCCGCGGACTGACTGCCGTCGTTTTCCCGTCGTCTCCTCTATCACAGGACGCGAGTCAACAATTCCGTATATTGTTCCAAGGATTTACACGTATACACAGTCCTACCTTTGTTCTCACAAATTCTCTCGCGCCCAGGGTCACACGTCGGACCTACGCGCGGTTCATGACGACGTGTCGCGAGTCATTATTGTCGTCATCGTCGTCGCTGTTATCGTAGTCGCGCTGCTACCTGTGTTCCTATGTGTTCACAGATATGATTACAATTGGTCTGTTCTTTTCAGCTGTACTGCTGAACTGGTGCAATAAGTTAGAGTGAGAAAACATATACTTGTCTCACTTTAACTTATTGCACCAGTTCAGCAGTGCAGCTGAAAAGAACAGACCAAATGACACGCAGACTCGCTCAGCCGAGACTCGAACTTTGCTTAGTTGGTAAGTCTGTTCAGTGAAATGGTTTCTCTCTCGACCGTTAGATGACACTAAGGAGCTATTAATGGCTACATTCAACGGAAAGAGTAGCTCAGAAAGCGCCACTGAAATATGGGTGCGTTCAGCGAACTCAACAGTTGCACAGCAGTTGAGCAATTCGTTAATGGGCGCATTCAGTAGAAAAAGCGCTCAGTGAGCAATCAACGATTATTGGTTCTTGTTATTAGATCCCTAAATCTAGACCAATTACATTGACAAATTACTCAACTGTTGTGCAACTGTTGAGTCTACTGAATGCAGCCAATGTAATTGGTCTAGATTTAGGGATCTAACAGTAAGAACCAATAATCGCTAATTGCTCTCTGAGCGCTTTTTACGCGCCCATATACTATCTGGAACGCGCGCTACTTCTTGAGTGTGCAGGATGAGAACCAATGCACAAGCACATCCGAAATATGTTACATTAAGTACTGACAATGCAATGACCATACTTGTACTAGGAAAATGTAAATAATTTTTAGCACTTTGTTAGCACTTTGTTAGTCTAATATATTTGCATCATTATTTGCGAAATAGGAATAAATACGGATTCAGAAAGAAGCTATTGAGAAGTAATACGAAATTCGAATCTGCATCTGCAGATACATGAAAACGGCTAAAAGGAGAACCATTTCTTCGTCTCACGAGTTTGGAATGTTCTTGCGATCGCATTTAATATGATGAATAAGAAAAAGCGCTCCATATTCAATACTTAATTTTATTGCGTTAATTATTATCATAAATAATGTAAAAGTAACAAAAGATTATTATTCTTTATTTTCAATATTATCTTCATTCGTAACATTTACTTATCTTTTACTCGTCAAAACTTTCATGAGCTGTTCACTGTATAAAAATAATTTCCATACATCAATATTTATTGGCACTTGTGCTGCAACGCTTGTATGTATGCAATTAGTTGTTAACAATAAAAGTTCATGACTTCTGTAAAACTCGACTTGAAGAGGAACTCTTGAAGAACTCACTCTCTACATTTCTTGAAGTGTGATTCCATTCGAAAAGTAGAATGACAGCCAAGTTATTGTATAATACTTCGTGTCATATAAAGTGAATTCTCTCTTCTGAATCGTTGAGTAGATACTTTCATTCAGGATTGAAGGATGAATGTATTCTGATCTATTTTAATCTGACGTATTCCACTGTCGGAGGAACATATCCACTCCAACCGATTAAAACATTCGTTTATATCGAGTCGGAATCCACTCTAAGCTTGAATGAAACATTCACTCTTGTAGTGAGTAGCAGTATCTTCAGTACCGCCTTGAGTAAAAATACTGTCACTTTTCACTCATTCTATGTGTAATTTCATTCTAAAAGATTTAAAGAACAAATCTAGAAGAAGAATTCAAGTGTCGTACGAATCCATCAGGAGATTTCCATCCTTGTCTCTCAATCTTTTCCTTCCACTAGAATAACGCGTTTCTTGAGTGCCATCGGCATACACCAGCTTCACAGTGCCATCGGGATATTCTCGTCTCTAAAATATTCCAGCGTGTTTAAGATACGTCAAAGATAATTCGACAGAAACGCGAGTTGCTAGTCGAGCTAACAAAACCAAAGTGATGTTTACCTTGTGCTCTTTCGTGTGGACTTCTCTTTGGCCATTTGGCAAGGTGAGAATCTTGTCGCCGTTGACGAAGGTCTGCGCCACCGTGCCGTCCGGTAACGTCCACTTCTCCGTGCCGTTCACTTGCGCTATTCGCGTGGCGCCGTCCGGAAACGACACCTGGACAGTGCCATCAGACGTGCGTCTCTCCACTTGGCCGCTATGTATTTTTCGCATTCGTTACGCATCGATTGTAGTCAGATGTACGGGCAAAGCCGAGAAGCGTATGGCGGCGAATAACAGATTGAAATAACAGAGAAAAAAATACTTGAAAGTTCATTTGTGAAATATAAAGTTCATTTCTATGAAATAAGCTTTCATCTTTCACAAATAAATTTCTAAAGATTCTTTCCTCACAAGGAGTCGTTCTCATTTATCTAAAGCCAAATAAGTAAATTTTGATACCAGTCGATAAAGAATGTTTCAATAAATGCTGAGAGTGAAAATTACGTCTGCGAACTCATTAGTTCCAAAAATTTGAGATTTTGTTTATTGCTCTATATTATATTTTTGTTACTTTGAAGGCCTTTACGGGGTCATAGTATCATTCTAGAAGTGCCAAAATGATAATTAAAATTTCGATCTGGGCCATTTTTGTTACATCGATAGAATACTGTTTTGATTTTAAATATTTCTCCACTAGTATATATCATATTACTTCACGGGTTGTACTTGCATTTCTGAATTCCGATGTATACACTGCGATCAATGTCTGTGCTTCAATTATTGTTTTCTAGATGAATTTGCACGTGAATTACCATAAATTTACAATAAATTTTAATTATCATTTTGGTTAGATTAAATTGGTTCTGTAAAAGTCTTCAAAGTGACTAAGCAGACACTGCACCTAATATGGGATAAAATCCCAAATTTCTGGAACTCTGATAAGTTCAGATAAGATGTAATCTTCACTCTCAGCACTTACTGAAATGTTCTTTATTGATTGATACCAAAATTCATTTACTTGACTCTGAACAAAGTCAAATGTAAACAAAGTAACATACTCAGGAAACTCTAAGATTTCTAAGCCGTCGGGAGTCGTGGTGTGCCACGTGCGAGTGGTGGCGTAAAAATACTTCACTCTGCCGTCCCGCTCGGTTTCGCGCACGTCCCCGTTGTAGTAGATCATCTTCGTCATTCCTTGATCGGGGAAGATCTTCTTCACGTTGCCGTTCGGATACCAGTATTCGACACGACCGTCGGCGTGCTCGATGTGCCTCACAATATCCATGCCACTCGGCACGCTGCTAGCTCGTCGACGAAGCAACGAATCTGTCCTTTCAGTTGACAGGTCCCGATCATGCGTTTTCATAGTCGCATTTTCTTCATCTCTATCGTCATCCAGCTGGCACGACCTGTTGCAGCGTTCCAAATCGTCCGCAATGCAAGTTGTTGTCGTGGCACACTCGAGATTCTCGCTTGCTGAACTGGAATAGAAGTCGTCGTTGCACTTCGCGCTTGGGCCAGACGCGCACGTGACAATCGGCTGGCGAAGATCACTTATACCCTGCATGGTGTAAGACGAACATTGATCCGCCACCAAGTCCGACGTAGCGTCGTTCAGCAAGTTTTTGTACAAGTCTCGCTTCTTCCGCGCTTCATTCGCGTTTCGCTCCGCGAATCTCTCACTGCGTCTCGAGCGTGATCCGATTTCCCGTTCTCGTTTGGATTCCCTTTTCTTCACGAGCGCGGTGTCGCCTGTTTCAGCAAACTCGCTATTGCCATCAGTCGCCTTCGTTATCGATTCGGTCGGCTCGTCTTCAGTTTTCGGCTTATCTTCGTCGTCTTCTTCATGGACAGAAGTGTTCGAGAAAACAGCCGGTAAGTTTCGAGACGATTTCGCTGGGATCTCCCTGGACGAAATCGCAACGGTGGGTCTGTTAATTCGTCGATCGGTGGCTCTCGCGAACGCTTGGCCGCCTGCTTTCCGGACGTTCTTCGCGTTCGTTTTCTTGGCAGTTTGCAGACTCGCTATTTCTTGCTTCAGCTTAGAAATCTCCGTCCGTAGTGCGCGCAGTTCACTCTTGTACCTCGACTCGGCGGCGTTCCATCTGCTCTCCCTAATGTTTAACTCGTCTTTGAGCTTTTCTAGTTCTTCCTCCAGATTCTGCGCTTTCTGCCTCTCCATCTTACTGTGCCTCGCCTTCTCTTGAGCGTCGCGAATTCTGTTCTCCATTGCCGCCTTCTCGCGCGCTAATCTCCGTTTCTCTTCTTCCAATTGAATCTGCACTCTTCTCTTGCTCTCCTCGAAGTTCCTTTCTTTCTCCATGTATTCCTTGTGCAATGTCGCCTGATCTTCTTGCAATCTCCGGCGCTGAAGCAACAAAGCTGAGCTTTCCTTCCGAAATATATCGATTTCCTTTTCCAGCTCCAACAGACGGCTTTTCAGGAGTTCCGGTTCAAAAGTATTCGTCTTGTCTGTTGCCGGCTCGCTCTTCAAGGCATACTCTTCCCTTTGGCGCATACTCGACATTTGATGAGCGTCGGATAACGACGACAATGATGACGATGACGACAAAACAGACGCTTGTTCTTCGTTGTACGTTTCAACGATTTTTTCGTTTTCTTCACCAGGTGATTCGTCTTCGCAGCCTGCAGAGTTCTCTTCATCGGAGACTTTCAATGCCTTCATCATACGATAGTATGAGTTTTCCGTAATGCCTTGCTGCAAGGACAATTGAATCGACGCGTTAATCGCTCTATCGTTGCCGTTAACTTGTCGGGCGGATGTATTCTCCTCGTAATTCAATGGCGATTTCTCCTCGACATCGGACAACTCCGGCGAGGTGTTCACGGAATCGTTGCCATTGTTTTGTTCCAGGTAACACACCAATGAAGATCTGCTGGACGCATTGGACACGTTCAGATCTATGGTTCTGTATTCGTTGTGTTCTGAAAATCTGACGCGGTGGTTCGCTATCGACGAGTCCGGATGAACGTTCTTGGGAACCAAGGTGCCGCAATCTTCCGCGGGAACGTCTCTCTCCTCGTCACTGTCCGTCAATGATGCAATAACAGCAGGTTCGCCGCATGATATATCTTTCGATTGGCAATCTTCGTCATTTTGTAATATTTCGTCGATCATCATCAGACGATGCTTCGGTGCTTCTTCTTCTGTTGAGTCGTCGATAGTTATTGTGTCCCAATAGGAGTTAATAGCTGCAGCGGCGGAATGAGAACGATGACGAAGATGGAATTGCTCAGACGACAGTTTCGCACTAGCTGGCTTGGCAGTGTCGCTCGTTCGTTTATTGTGCTGTTGTTTCGCACTCGCAATTTCGCTCTCCGAGCGATTCAGTCTCTCCCTCACTTTAAACGGCGTGGATTGCTGCAAAAATGCAAGTACTGTGCTCGAGGTTGAACAAAAACTCGAATTCTCCGCTTTCTCCTCCAAGAGCTCGAATATCCTTACCTCCTCTAGTTCTCTCTCTGTTTTCGAGTCAAAATCTGAGACATTTGTTTCCGACAGATGTCTCGTTCCATTGGCAGTCGCGGTTGCTGGTTCAATAGGTGTAATAAGAGCAGGTTTGTCAGGAGCTTTTCTTCTCGATGATGGCACAGTGGTCAATCGTCGCTTTTCAATTGATGTGCAACCAGAAAATGCATTTTTCTGTACAGTAGCTTTGATATCTTTATCTATTTTATTCACATCTTGCGTATTAACGGTTGAAGATGCACCACGTCTTCTCGTAGTCGTTGACTGAGCAGGTGAATTTGCAGACATCTTAAATCTCAATAAACCTTGACCCTTTTTTAAGAATGACTTTTTTATCTTAGTCTGCGAATCGCTGCGCGGCGCTATATCCGATTCTTTATCCAACTTCTCTTTCAGTAGTGTTTGAAAATCTTTCTTAGATGAAGGAACAGGGATATCATCCAAAGAAACACGTTCATTTGATGCTACATTATTCAGTGATAATGGTGCTATTCCTTCTATCAATAAATCAGCATCCAATTCATTCTTTTGCAATATACTGAAACTGTAATCCTTTGTAGAATTCCTATTGTCATCGACAGTCTCAGAGATACAATCAGAGTCCTCGGCTTCTTCTTCTTTATTGTAATTTTCATACAAAGCAATAGTGTCTCTCATTATTCCTTTCTTTGTTTCTTTTAAAGCACTATCCAAGCTTGTTGACATTACTTCATTCTCACTTATCATGCTGTGAATAAGGAGCTTATTAGTATTTTCGACAATGTCACTAAGATCTTGTAAAGGAAGACCAAGGGCTTTGTAAATACGATCCTGTTTGTGGCTCAAAATTTCTCTTTGCATTTGTTGTTCCTTGAGAAGCTTCTCCTGCTGTTCCGCTTGCCATTGTCTTAATTTCTGTAAGCGCTCTGTTACAACAGCTTCCACATCCATTACTTACAGGATATCTGTTGAGAAATTAGTATAAAAACATAAAATAAAACTTACTTTGGAAAGAATATCTAAATAACTAGCAAATAATTGTGCGTTTATCTGTATTTATTGGTTTAAAAAAGAAATATAACTGATTCTAGCTTTACGCATTTCAGAAAATTTTAAACTTTAATTGTAAGATAGTATCTTTGAAATATATTAAGTGAATAAGCCAATGTGCAAATTGTGAGCAATCTGAAAAATTACAGGCATAATTTTTAATAAGTGATAACTATGATTATTTTTCTTTTAGAATAATACTATTTTATTATTCATAATGCATACATAAATACTTGCCTCTACAAAAGTGCAGATCGTAAATTGTACACGAATTAGATATTCGATCGTTTATTCTTTTCTATACAAGACAGTTCTATAAAATACAAGATTGTTCTATAAAAGAACAATTTCATAAAACGCTGATTGTTAACAAATTTTTCAGAAAATCTATCAAACGGCTTCATATTTCAAAAAGTCATCTTTGTTATTTATTTGTACCAAACAGAGCTAACCTAATCTAACCTAACCTAACTTGACTCAACGGCTGCAGCATGTATTATTACGACGTTATGTTGGTTACCCTGACAGTAAAGCGGGAGCACACTTATGGCTCCTGCACACAGGACGCGGTAATGCTTGCCGCGCGGCGGAAGTCCGCGCGACAGCCAGTCAATGGCCGCGTTCAGTACAACAAGTGATCAGTAAGCGCTCAGTGAGCTCTTGCATCTGATTGGAATATAGTTGGAGATCTAAAAGAATATGCTAAATCATATACAAGAGCTCCCTGAGCGCTTACTGATCACTTGTTCTACTGAACGCGGCCAATATGTTTTTCCGTAAGAGCTAGAAGGTTATTACGGAAAGCAGCGTGGCCGCCGCGTGGCAAGCGTTACCACGTCCTGTGTGCAGGAACCATAAAAGTCCTTGCACAATGCCTAGCTACAGGCAATAGAAATAAGTATTAACCAATAGAAACAGGGAATAGAAATAATTGACCAATCCGAATTCCTATTCCCTATTCCTATTGCTTGTTGCCTGGCATTCTACAAGGGCCTTAAGTTCCGATCACTGAAATATACAGGGTGTCTCATTTTAAAAGATCCACTCTCATAATTCTTCAGCAAAGTATATTCAGCAAAAATGTTTCAGACAAAAGTTGACGGGTTCAGAGGGGAGCATCTTCAAAAATTGACGGGTTCAGGGCCCCTATTCTTGAAATTTTTGCGTACACGTAAAGGCCTTTGCATGTAGAAAAATTTTAACCGTAATCGTAAGGTCGTAAGAAAACTGACCAATTAGAGTTGATTATTTTCCTTGCGTTCGAAGAATAATCGACTGTGATTGGTCAGTTTTCTTTCGATCTTATGGTTACGGTTAAAATTTTTCTACGTGCAAAGGCCTTAATTTTTATTGCGCAGCTATTTTATATTATGATTAAACCTGTGCAGTAAAACTTACGTATACGCAACTATTTGAAGAATAGGGGCCCAGAGACGTTAAAGGGAAATAATTAGGGGTTTACAAAAGTTTGTTAGGATAGTTTCATCAGTTTGAGTGATTAATAATCTAAAGGTTACAAAATTTAAGGAACTTTTGTAAGTCTCTAATATGTCGCACCCAGCCAAAGAACTAATTATGTCTGCTCTTATAGTGAAAATTATAAATAGATTTTTATTTATCTATATGATAATGTGCATATACTTTATATAAACAATATATTTTGCATGCGACGGTATAAAGATGAAAGAAATCCGTAAAAAATTAACGGATAGTTACATTACAACTATTTGATTATTCTAATATAATTCTAACAAGCATACCGCCAAATATGAACTAACGGTAAAATTTGAAGTAATAGCACACTCAATGTTCATGTTCAAGATTTAATTGGAAGCCTAATCGCGTTTTTTTCTCGCGTGTATAAAAATACATTAAAATACGCACCCGATAAACGAGATGTGTCGGAAAAGAGAAGCTACACGTCGTTTTTAATTTAGATGAATTTGTCATTGCCTGTTGTCATAGTTTCTGTCCAGTTGAAAACAATACACAGAGATCGCGTATAAGAAAAATTGATTGCTCAATCAGTTCTACATAAAATAGAATGCATACTCACTCACTTAACTCTTTACTCATCTAACTCATTCTAGTGATTAACTGTGTCAACAATAATCTCAATGCTTGTCGTGTTTTATCAAATTATGAAATTAACAATTCAACACAAGATACATAAGAATCGCCAAAGCAATGTTCCGGACAATTTTGGCGAAATATTCATAACAAGTTAATTCGCATAGTATCCTATCTTATTAATCGGTAATTATGCGTTTATACTTTCTATTAGGTGGAAAAACTTCCTCATCTTCGTCTTTATCGGTTGCGAGGAAGGGATCGTCATATGCGTAATTAGGCGCCCATTTCAGTAACAACTTCTCAAAGAACTCTTCTAAATTCCTAGCTTCCTGATACACCTGCGAATCAACCTGAAAAGAATAAAACAAATAAGAACACAGTGAAATGAAGAATGAGAAGCAAAGAAAGTGGAGGGAGGAGGGAGAAAGAAAGAAACGAGAGCAGTAAAATTCAATAATTCCTAATAATTCAATAATTTCCAATCAAGACTTCCTGCACTATTGTATAGTTTTCGACTGAAGCGAGTTTGGATCGCCCTGAGAATAATTAATAATATCACAAAGCTCTACTAGTCAATCACAAAACTTATACGAACATGTCCCAGTCAATAATCGTTCCGGGAGCGATTCAAAGCCGTCTCAGTCGAATACACTATTAGGTAACTTACGGGGTTATAGGTGAAAGCATTTTTAAACATGAGCCTGATGTCCGCCATGACTTGTCTCAAATCTGTATAATGATTGATATGATCGGGTTTCAATTTATCCCTGATTATATCTAATGCGATCGGATTTTTAATAATCCGATGGTAATCGGTAATCTGGCGGAACAGAAAGGATATCTGAATTATTCTCGATGCGATACGAAGAACAAATGTATGAGACGGAAATCTGGCCGCATGTTGTTACCTCGCTCGATACTACTTCTCGAAAAGGAAGACTTTGTTCATATTGACAGTAGAGCTCTAAGACAATTCTCTGTGCAATCCGTAACTCCTTAATACTCATACCGCTCGTTCTTTTCTCGCCAGTCGACGGTTCGTCGAGCTTATCTATATGATCGAGGACATTTGTACACAACATGCATTGCCAGGTTTCACTTTCGCTAGAAGAAACATAGTACAAATTAATAACAGCGAGTCAAATAGCGACAATGAGCCACAAAAATAGAGTGCTCACTCTGGAAAGGATTCTAAGCTGGGTATATGACAGTAAAGATGAAAGACTTTTGGACACTTGTCGCAACAGAGAACTGCGTCACCTCCGTCCATACATACTGCGCACCAGTCTTCGTTTGGATCATCCTTCATAACCATCGCAGTCGTGGTATTTTTCGGATTATCCGCTGAAAAACATGGACACGATGTTTTAAGACAGCTTGAGATCAAGATCCACCTCGCGGCACTGTCTACTGCAACCAACCTGTTGTGTTTTCAGTCATAGAATTCATATCCTCGTCAGTAGAGCTGTCAACTTGTGCCGAATCCATTTGATTTCTTTGAGCCTCCGGTATTACCATGATACCATTACTGTCCAATTTAGCGATGGTGAGCATCAAGTCGTTCAGTGACTTTTGACAAAACTTATCCAGGCTCTTTTCAGTCTCGTCCGGCTTGCCGGGAGTAGTGACCGGACTGGGCGTTTTAGGTACGGACGAGCTGACTGCGTGGCCGACAATAGTCGAAGAGTTCTGCGACTGCGGCGGATTGTCGCATGCACCGCGCTCGTTCGCATTGTTGCTGTACTTTTGATTGTTACTCGCTTGTTGATTTCTCAGAGTGATCTTGTACGCGTCGTTGAAAGGAACTGGCATGTGAGGTGCCGCGTGCTGCTGGCGGGACGACGCGTAATAAGGCACGCAGGGATTCATTTGTTGAGGTATGTGCCAACGTGCAGTGGAGTGCTGCACGGTATAATTGGCGTGGTGCTGCGCTGGTGACGGAGAGGGCAAGTTACACTGTTGCAAACGTGTAGCTCCAGGCACAATAGCCGTGTTTGCCGGCTGGTACGAGTGAGGCGCTGGTACTGGCGGTTGCACTACCGTTCGTTCCACGGCTCCTCTCTGAGGATTCCCACTTGAAGAATATCGATATCCATGTGCAAGTCGATATTGTACATGATTACTGGAAGCTCGGAATGACGGATGAGCTGAAGCCGACGGAGGCGGCGGTGGCAGTGGTGGTGGAGCTGGATTATGCGCGAGAAGTCCGCGTAGACTAGCGTTCTGTCCGTGCTGATCCATGTTTTGAACTTGCTGATGGGGGTGCGTGGATGATGTAACTTGTTGCTGATGACAGTTAGCCAATGGTCGTTGCTGATGCATCACTAGTTGATTTTGTTGTGGCGGTTGTAGCCTGTTGCTGTAGTTGATAGTGTACGGCACTCGTGGCTGATGTGTTTGCGGCGATGACCGGGGTGGCATGTTGTGCGGTACGGAATATTGCTGCATGTAATTCTGCGATTGTTGAGCATGTTGTTGTTGTTGTTGTTGTTGTTGTTGTTGCTGTTGTTGCTGCTGTTGTTGCGGCGGTAGATGCAGAGGCACTTGTTGGTAAGAGTTTGGTTGCGCGTTGCTTGACTGCTGTGTCACCATCACGGGTAACGGTAATCCTTGCTGTAGTACAGGAGGAGTACCGTCCGCATGAACATTTGTCGAATTGGTCGTTTGCTTTTGCTCTGGATGCGACTCGTTGTAAGCCACCGCGGTGTTACTACAGATTGTGGGAGATATAGACGGGTATACTCTGCCGTCGACTACTATCGCTCCGATCGACGACACAACTGCGGAAAATTGTTTGGATCAATTACTCGAATGTGTTACTCATCATCAAGTTCTAATTAAATTGATTACTTGTAAATAGAGTTGGATAAGTTTATTTTTTTTTAACTATATTAATCAGGGAATAATTACAAGAGTTTTTGTCTTTCTGAATGCTAGTGTTCTTTTATTGTATGGGATCTTAAGCACAGAACACTCAGTATTTTTTTTTAGAAAAGACTACCTTTTCACTACTAATTCAATAAATTTAATCTTTAATTAAAAAATTAATTATTCAAATACATTATATTGCTTTACATAATTAACTAAAGTTACTATAAGTTTAAAGTTTAATGGTCCTTAAGTGAACTTACTTTACATTAAAAGTTAGAAAAATTAAACAAAACCTAACTTAATTAAAAAAAGTTAACATTAAATAAATTTGCTAAAGTTAACATTAATTATGTAAAGCAATATATTTTTGCATAATTAATTTTTTAATTGAAAATTAAATTTGTAAATTAATAGTGAAAAGGTAGTCTTTTCTAAAAAAAAAAATATTGAGTGTTCTGTGCTCAAAATCCCATACAATAAAAGAACACTAGCATTCAGAAAGACAAAAAATCTTTGTCATTATTTCTTATTTTTCTCATTCTACATTGTTACGGTTAAAAGATTATTTTAACTTATATAAAAAAGTTAAGAAGTTGAAGTTAAAGTTAATACATTTTTTAATAACTAATATAAATTAAAAGTTGACTTATTTAAAATTGACTATGTTCAATTAAAAGTTATTAATTTTTCAACGTCTTAACTTTTAACTGATTAACTAATTATTACCTAATTTTTTTTATAAGCGAAAATTGATTTAAATATCGTCTACTGTATCTGCTATACAAGTATCATATATGATACCTTTTATTAAGTCTGGTACTTTCTCCAGAGACAGATGTATTCGAACTGGTATTTCCGGATTTGGGATGTCGGCCCGTCGGCTCTTTATCCTCTGCAAGTGGCTTGTAACGGACCTACATGATACATACGAGACAAATATATATACAACAATATAATGCTAACATTGTACATAAACGCGCATGAATAAACGCGTGCACGTATGTATAGTTGTATCTATATTCTGTACTTTTTACTATATAGTAACTCCATATCGGAGCCTTTATTCAGGACGTAAGTGCCGAAAAGTATACAATGATCCGTAAGCTTGGACAACTGATCCAGAGCGACCTTTTTCTCATTTAATGTATTCTGTTTTTGGTCACACACTTCGTTCAATCGCATCACCAATTGCTTTCCTCTTGTGTTGATTGCGTTGGTTAGCCTAAAACAGATAAGGAATATTAAGGAATAGGATAATATATATCTTGTTGTGGAATAGATACACAATACATATGTATACTTACTGTACTACCATTTGAGTTATGTCCTGAACAAGATTCTTTTTTTTCTCTAATATTAAAATTTGTCTATCTTCTATAACTTTCATTGCGCTCCTCAACAATACTCGCTTATAGCTAGAAATTATTAACACTAAATTATCCTCAACACCCTGATATGCTTAATCAAGAAAATGAATGATAAATAATTTATTAATATTACCTAACTTCCTTGAGTAAAGTGGACACAGAAGAACGAGTTTCAGCAGCAATCTCGTGAATAAATTTGTACTTGTGGTCACGATGCTCACTGAGTTGGCAATCTCTACATGTTAATCTGTCACATGTCTGGCAAAATAAAGACAGCTGCTCATGTGTGTGGATTGTACAAAACAAACAGCCAGGTATCCTCTTGTTACCCTTTTTAACATTGTCTTTGTCATTTGCTACTTCGTCCTTAGGTTTAATCGTATGGTCCTTGGTTATTTTTAACCTCTGATGTGCCTGAAAGTAGTTTCATTCAACATGAGTTAACATAAATTTACATTTCTCACATTAAAGAGAATAGAGAATAACAAGACTGACCTTTGCTACAAAAAGGATCTATAGCTGTGCAGAATATGTACGTCATTTAATACATAGCTTATAATTACCATAACACAATTCAGGCAGATAAATTCTTCGCATTCGACACACCAACTGGTAGCTATAACATTATCATGACAGCTAGTGCATTTCTTTTCCTCCTCAGTATCTTTAGATTCATCTTCCACTCCTGAGTTGGTATCTTCCTCTAGCAGTTTTGAAAGAAACCTATTTTCAATTAGATTTTCCACTTGGCTAGCAACATTGCAAATTTGACACATAATCACGTTACTCTCCACTGTAAAATACAATATAGTTATGAATAATTATAAAACAAAACAATTTTACACATAAGAATACCAAAAAAAGAAACTGCTTTTACTGTCAAGTCTGACAGTCTGATCATTAAGTAAATGTTATATTTGCTAAAAACTATTTAATATTGAAAAGAGAATACGTGTTACATACACAGTACATCCACGTCGACCGATGTGTTATGGTCACTGAGCTTGTTATTAACACACGTTGTACAGGCTGCATGCAAACACTCGAGAAGTTTCGGCTCGTCTCCCAGAGTGAATATTTTGTTGCAGAAGACGCATTTTGACAGAAATGCACGGATCTCGCTCTCCTGACTTTCAGTAGTGCACTCAATACGTTGGTCGCTGCATTCTTCCTCGAGACAAATATCTTGCAGTTGAGCTTGCTGCGAGTCTTGCTTCGAATTGTGCTGCTCAGCAGGTTCCTCCTTCACTATCGCGGGTAGTACGGGTAATGTGGATAACGCGGGAACTGTCACCGCTAATTCATTACCACGGCTTTCCATGATGACAGTCGAGAATCGCCTGATACGTTATCTTCGTCGACTTGGCGCCGCGTGTTGCGTTACAATTCACTGCAGAAAATTTCTTTCAAGCCATACAGCGCGTATAGCGCCGTGGCAGCCATTTTATAAATTTACGCATATTCGTACTGTGAATGAATGAATCGTAGTATCGACTCCACTAATGCCAGAACGTCTCCTTTGCACCCGAAGATCAGAGCATGTAGGGTGCGTTCCGTTACACGCTCGCTACGCTCGCGAGCGTCATTCTATCTTTGTTTAACATCTAGGTTTCAGACTTCAGACTTCAATGATTGGCTGAGTACACCTAACCATTAGTGATCCTACGCCATTGCTCCGACTATGCTTCCATCGTATATGTATCAGTGTAGTTGGCGGAATATTTAAATTGTATATCCAATTGCTTGAAAATTTCGCTAAGATCGAAAACAGCTTTATATTATTGTTGTTAAAGGCTAGTGCGAAGTAATCATTCCACTGCGAGAATCCTGCTTTGTGAACTTGTGTAATCAATAGATTACTCTCTTCTGAGTAAAGTGAACATTCAAACAAAATGTGTTTTAGGTTTTTTTTTAAAGCCCCGCAGTCTCATTGTTCCTCTATGATAATATTTTTATCAAAAAGAAGAGTGCTTCATCTGACATGAAAGGATCTCAGTCTCGCCACCAACGAAATGACGTCACGCTTCACAAATTTGAAATTTTCAACCACAGTCTGTTGGCTAGTTTAGTGATCTTCACTCTGTATCGACTGCCTTTGAAGATGAATTGACCTTCCGGTAAGTTATGCGCTAGTTTATCAAATTTAACTTTTAAGTTGAAGATAATGTCTCTACAGAAAGAATTCTTCCGCACTTTAATATCTGACTTCTCAGCCGCGCTCTTGGCAAGTTTATCCGCCTCCTCGTTCCCATGGATGCCATAGTAGGCAGGGACCCAGATAAGATAACCTTCGTGCCTATTCTATTAGCTCTGTTAAGCTGATCAATTATTCTAAGTAACAGAACGTTAGGTCTTCTTTTGGTGGAGACATGATTCCAACCAGTGAACAACGGGAGTCCGAGCAAATAATTACACTCCTCCTGCTCGATTCGATTGCAAAGTCGATGGCCTTCATGATCGCGGTGGCTTCTACGTTCATAATAGAGCTGGAATCAGTGATGGATTTTGGCAAGATATTCGCCGTCCCAGAAAGCTTCGTGCGCATGCGTAAGCGACGTCACAACTAGAAATCAGCTGCGTTCAGAAATATATCTAGGGTGCAGTAGTAGGTGCTATAAGGGGCCCTTGTATTGTTCTCATGTGTGTTTATAAACAAGTGTCAACGTGTACTGAGTGAATAGCTGAAAAAATAATAAATTTGTTAGAACAAAAAAGATGGATGATCCGCAGCAGCCGACATCAAGTGGCATCGAGAAAAGGAGCAAGAAACCAAAAAGGAAAGTATTCCAGTATTACAGTAAATAACAAATATGTCAATTTCCTTATTATTAATCATATTACTTGCACTCTATTCCTATCAAAGCAATTTTCCTTCCTCCTGCTAATTCCTTCACATTTCTTTTCTCGCAGGGCCCTAACGATACCTCAGATTCGACGAAAGTATATACGTCAGTGAGGACTCCGAGCGTTTACTCTGTACGTATGCGCGAGACATATCTTGCCAAAATCCATCACTAGCTGGAATATGAATTTGGACGAGAAACCGATAACTGGAAATCGTGTGAGTATGGTCGAGTTTTTTAATTCATTGATGGATCCATTGCATGATGCGCAAATGCAATGTTTCGCTGTATTTACGCATCATGCAATGGATCCATCGATGAATTAAAAAACTCACCTTATATACCAAAGCCGGTTTTCCCATTGCACTGCAGAGAACCATCTGTGTATATGATGTCATCTGCTTTTTTCCCGATTAGAATGGAATTAGCTCTCCTGTTGACGCCACCTAACGAGAGTTTTTTGGATCCTTGTTTAACATCCATGAGCAACAAAGATAGAATAATGGCTCCTGCATATAGGATGCGGTAATGGCTCCTGCACACAGGACGCGGTAATGCTTGCCGCGCGGCAGAAGTCCGCGCGATAGCCAATCAATATGTTGTTTTTTCGTAAGAGCTAGAAGGTTATTACGGAAAGCAGCATATTGATTGGCTGTCGCGTGAACTTCCGCCGCGCGGCAAGCATTACCGCATCCTGTGTGCAGGAGCCATTGACTGAGTTCCTACTGAGCGCGTCACGCGACGCGTCGTCTGCGTGTGTCACGAGTTAACCAATCAAATCCTCTAATTGGGAGACGCACGCACGACGCACTTGTTCCAATGGAACGATTTGATTGGTTAACTCGTGACGCAGGCAGAGACGCGACGCGTGACGCGCTCAATGGGAACTCAGCCTAATAACCTTCTAACTCTTACGGAAAAACAACATATTGATTGGCTGTTAGGCGGACTTCCGCCGCGCGGCAAGCATTACCGCGTCCTGTGTGCAGGAGCCATTATTCTTAAAATAGTTGCGTATACGTTTTACTGCGCAGCTATTTTATGGTATGATTAAACTGCGCAGTAAAACTTATATAGCGCAACTATTTCAAGAATAAGGGCCCAGCACTTTACTATTCTAGATTACATGCCAAAATATCTTTTTTGAGGAAAATTTTATTCAATATTTATAGTTTACGTCACACATATTATAGAGTATCGAGTAAAATTTCTTCAAAAAAGACGTTTTGGAATGCAACCCTAAAGGTTGGTTTATGATGGCTGTAATCCGTATTACGGCCATCATAAACCAGCCTTAAATCCCGATCTACAATAGGTGATTTAAGCCCTAAGCTTTAAGAAATTGACCAATTGCAATCAAATTTGAAGAGAATAATCGACTGTGATTGTGTTAATTTCTTAAGTCTTAAAGCTTACTACACCTATTGGCTGCATTCAGCAGACTCAACAGTTGCACAACAGTTGAATAATTTGTCAATGTAATTGGTCTAGATTTAGGGATCTAATAGCAAGAACCAATAATCGTTGATTGCTCACTGAGCGCTTTTTCTACTGAATGCGCCCATTGTAGAGCGGGACTAATCGATAGTCTGGGCGTGAAGAAATTTGCCAGTTTTCGGCTGTAGAGGTCTCTATCGATACAAGTTGTGAGAACATCAATAGGGTGCCATTAAGTTCGTGTTCGTCCCGCCGACATTTTACTTGCTTCGGCTCCTGCGTTTGCATGTCGGATGTAAAATTTTCTCGGCGTGAGTCACAACGGTGAAGTATTTTGGCTAGTTGAACAACTACTTCAGGTATTTTGTATACGTATCAAGGTGACAATCGAGGATTCGCATACAATTGCGTCGTTCTAAGGAAGATAAAGGCTGTGGTCTCTTCGACTCGGCAAGGTGAGTTCTTTACTGCATTATCATGGTTGCTCGCGCACGAGATGCTAAAGAAATACCGAGAATATAGCCGCGAACACCTATCGACGTTTCGATCGGATAGTCTTTAATTCATGGCAAATCGATTGTTTTCCTACGTATTATCTTCTCCGGCTACTCTGTGCGGAATCACTACGTATGCATAGTGTGCATTGCGTCGCAGAGATTCGCTCTGCCGTTGATGCTATTGTGTCGCACTACGACGTTTATTTATCTCGTCCGTAAGCAATTAAGCGAAATTGTATAATCGAATTTAATCAATCTCATAATCGCGGCATTAACCTCAATAAAGTACAGTAGTAATTTGTAATCGTGAAGAGGCTATCGATGTTTTTTCTATAAATATAGTTTTCTTGACGCCCATTATATAAAAATATTTTTAATATATGTTTTGTCCATAGACTGGTGAGGCTATTTCCACCATAATTCCCCCTCCATTTTCCTTCCTCTCTTTCTCTATATTTATCCTTGTCTCACTCAGCAATAAGTTGCAACCATGAGCTATGGTTACAATAAATACAGGTTGGTACTTATATTATTATAATAATATAGTAATAATACTGTAGTAATAATAATGTAGTAATAATAATATAATAATAATAATGTAGTAATAATAATGTAGTAATAATACTCAGTAATAGTAATAATAACAGTAAAAAATGTTGAGAATAACTAAAAATATTACTTAAAATATATATACATCACACTCAGTAACATATATACACATATTTCTAACTTCTTATCTTATATATTCTTATACAATGCTGCATATCGATAGTTTGTTCTATTAGCCTTGCAATTTAGTAGTAAATATATTTGTTAGCTAACATAATGGTGTATCGAGATACATAAAGCATCCAAAGAAAAAGATACTGTGTTGACCTGGTGACAAAGTTTTCAGTAAATTTCCTTTTTCAGCTCTACTATGAGTTCTCGTGGTCGTGGGTTTAATTCTCGTGGAGGTGGGTCTTATAGAGGCCGAGGAGGTGGTGGAGGGAATGAGTGGGGCGGTGGTTCTACAGGAGGCAATATGTCTGGCAGAGGAGGTTATTCATCTTCTAGAGGTGGCAGATTTAAATATTCTACAACCAGCTATGATTCTAGATCAAAGTATACTTCAGGTAATATGCATTCTTATTGCTTTACACTGAAAACAATCACATACCAACATAATGCATACAAATTGCATAGCAACTATTAAAAAAAAATCAGTGAATAAATAAAGTTCTAATTTTATTTATTTGTCTTGTTAGGAGGATCAGAAAGATATTCGAGCAGAGGTGGTCGTGGTGAACACTCAAACAGTTATAAAAGACCTCGTGTAAGTATATAAGATTCGAGACTGTTATTAGTATAATATCAAAAACATTCTATATATTGCAGTTTTTATAAAATATGTAATTTTAATAAACTGTATATATAATAACTCAATTATAAATTATTTTTCACATAGGATTCTTATTCCGCAAGGGACGACCATCGATCGTCTAGTGATTCAACGCGGAAAAGAATGAGAACTGATTCTTATCAGGTATGTGTCCTCCTTTTGTTCATGCTCTCTTTATTTTTCTCTCGACTCCCCCCAACTTCCCCCGCCTGTTTTGTACAAAAATCGAGCATTGGACACTATGATATGGCATTAATGTCAGAGTTCCTTAAATCATATGAAGTCATATTTACATAATTGAGAGATCTCTTGCAATGTGGGGAACTTGAATGTTATCTTCGTGTTATCTTCTTGTATAGTGTACTTGAAAACGATGGTCCTGAAAAAAAAAGAGAAAAACGTTTGCCACTTATTAATTAGAGCGTATCACATATTGAAGATTGTAAGTTGTATAAAGGATTAGCAAATAGTTTCAGGACACTCGTACGTAAGAAAGTCTCGTGTATTTTAGGCAAAGCATTCATAAGTTGTCATACTTTCCTTTCAAGCGACGCGAGCCAACGGCTTCTCGAACGCTCATTCTTTTTGCGTTGGAGCGCTACCGCTGTGGAACACTACGAAAACGTCAAATAATTGAAAGATGAAACATATACCTAGATGACATTTATAATGTCTATTACTAAGAGCACATGGTCGCATTAAAGTTTGAGAACTGTTTGAAAAGCCAACCAACGATCGAACGGAATAGATACGTGCATATACACGTGTATACACGTATATACGCATGAAGCGAGGTACCGTCACATTATTCCCCGTGATATGGCGATAATAAGAGCAACCAAGTTAACTCACTGCGCAATGAGATTATAGAGAAATTGTTGAGGGAAAAAAAACCGTACAGTACGTACGAGACATGGGATGTTCACAGATATGCCAGATCACACAATCACCGTGCGAACAGATGCGAACAGGTTGTCTAAATTATATCGAGAGCTCTAAGTGACGAAAACAACGAGTTTCGAAAGTCCATTACGTAGCTTTTATTTCCAATCGTATAGGACGCGTGCGTCCTTTATCGACTTCGTGTTAAAAAAAAAAGCGGCAAGGAGAAATTAGAAAGGAGTTAACGTTTAGTACGTATATGCGTATCTCTACCTGATGGTGTGAAAAATACTTGGAAGGCATAATGCATGCGGGTAAATGTGGATGAAACACTTGGATCTGACGATGCACATACGTATATGTATACGTATACATGCATGTATAGATACCCGGAAATACCTCATCTCATTATTCCCAGACAGGCAAGCAAAATGAAAAAAGTACGAGTGATCACGTGAATAGCTACTGCTTCATTATTTTCGTTCAATTATCCCTTCGTGTGTACTCTCACGTACACGAGAAGTCTAATGAATCGCAGAAGAATTTCTTGCACGTAATGATACGATTATACGTACCTAATGAGAGGTGTGTAACTTGAGAGTTGGAGAGGTTTATGGAGGTTTGTTGAGAGCATAATTGTATCTTCTTGAAAGTGGCAATATCCAGTTTATTAGCTCGAGGGAAGCGAACGTTGATTCTCGCTACTACTATTCCCGAGATCAGAAATGTTGCGAAGCGATGTTAGCGATTACGCGAAGTCACATAATAGAAGGCAACAAACAGGTATGTAGGGGGCTTTTGATATTTAGGAGAGAAAGCGGAATAAAGTTACACGTAGGTGATCCGGATCTGGGAATGGGTGTAGTTATTGTCAGTCGCCATGAGAGACGTTGGTCTATGTCGGGCGCTAAACGATTATAGCACGCAAGTACGGGAATCGAATAACGGAAAACAGAATTTATGAAAAGATAGAAATCAGTTGTATAATCGTACCGGCAGTCACGCTGTTAGTCGAACAGTCAGTTCTTTTAATCGGTTAATTGAGCAGTTGGTCACATTAGTTGCTTAGTCAATGTTAGTCGGTCAGAGTAAGTCTCGGAGTAGCCTGTGTTGGGAGCAATAGTAGTCGAGAGTTAAACGTGAACGCATTACGTATACCCGTAGAAACAACCAGAATGGATGGATGATAGGAGTGGGCATAAAAAAAGAGGGGAAAGAAGGATAATTGTTGATCTACTTACACACACATACCTAAATACGTAAATACGTAAATGTATATACGTGCGTAGAATAAAATAATATAATAAGAAGGAAGAGCAGGCAGGAATCACGAAACAAAAAAAAATAAAAAGAGAAATACATGGAAGGAGCACAATTGAATTTGATTTGGCAGGGTGGAGGTAGCGGTAGCGGATCACAAAGGTATTCATCGTACGGTGGCTCATCCACATCGGCACCTTATGACGATAATAAGGGCTCGTCGTCGTCCGCAGTGTACGAGGACAAGAGACAGAGCGAACGTGCGTCATCGTATCACCGCTCTGAGGACCGTCATTCCGCATCTCGGAGCTATGCACCTCCGCCACCCCCTCGGATTAGCGAGATGGCACCGCCCCCGACTCAAAGATACACCTCGAGTCGGGGAAGAATATCGCACCAGAGCTCAAATTATAGAGGTCGCATCTCGACCCGCGGCAGCAGCGGCAGAGGGGGTGGATTCCATCGGGTGAGCTCTCGATCGGACGTCCTCATGGTGGCTCGCAAGCGTACCCTGCACTCGCTCGACTATCGCCGAAAGCTGCTAGGCTCACGCTCGCGAGACTACATCCAGCGTATGCGCATGACTACTACGAAACTACGTAGGAGGTAATTAATTAATACAATCACATTTACCAGAGGCGTACGCGCGAATACTATTCTCATAGCCTGTGTGTTTCCTCGTCCTGCTTCGGAGAGTTGTCCGACCGATGACTGTCACAGGATGATGATTAGAAAAATATACATATAAGTATACATAAATAAAAAAAAAAAAACAGCAGAGAAGAAGGTGGTGCTAGGAGGCAATCGAGCAAAATGTTCATCGATATAAATCGATCGATAAAAAAAAAGGTTGACGCAAACAATCGCACGAAATAGATACTACTCCGCTACGAGAGGGATATTTCTGCAGGGTTTTCAAACATAAAGAGAGGAATTGACGATGATACGTAAAATGTAGCGATGATTGAAAATGTAGCGTATCGTCGAAACGCAATATAATTGTTTTCCATACGAGAGTTGAAAAAAAAATTGTATTTTATTCAATGTAAAAAACACCATTTTCTTTAAAGTTCATGTACGTTTCACAAGCACGACTAAATCAGAGAGAAAGAATTAGTCGCTGCATCTTCTGTGTAATATTTTTTATGACATGGACGAATGTGGCAAGAAGTTGAAACGCAAGGCAACGGAAACAAAAAAAAGTAAGAGGATAGTAGACGCTTTTAGTACGATACTAGATCGATAAATATCGCGATGTTTGCCACATATCATCTATCAGCAAGTTTTGCTCGATGATATAACGGGGGAAAACAAAAAAAAAAGGAATCAGGAAATGGAACGAAGAAAAATAATATAAGCCAAAAAAACGTTGTGTCATTAGTAGCGGTACTACTAGGCTCACCGGGAGTAAAAAGGACTCAGGATCGGGAACCAGCGTAAAGGACAAGGATAGAGAGATGGCCAAAGCCATAAATGCCGAATTTTCTGACGACGACGAGGATGAAGACGATGATAATAAGAGTAACTGGGACGACGAAGAAAAGGTAATTTTTTATTCGAAGCGCTGTCGAACCTCTAGCGTTCATCATCATAAATTAAAGTCAATTTCTCATTACGAGTGAATTCGTCTGCATAATTTTAATATCATATTACTGTAAAATTCAATGCTCTACTCTATCTTCTTTCGCAAATCATATATAATTAGCTAATGCTTTATGGTTACGCATTGATTTGATCATATTTCTTCAATTTAGCCTCACGAACACGATGACGAGGAGGAGGTAGAGGAGGAAGAAGAGAAAAAAAATAAAGAGGATAAGCGCAAGAAAGAGAAACAGGATAGGGAGAGGCAACATACCGAAGATGAGGAAGAAAAGGACGATGATTTGAAGGAAGAAGACGATCAGAAGCGAGATGTAAGTTTTTCTTTTTGTTATTACTAATATTACCGCTAATATACTGTTAATTACTCAAACTTTCTGGGGATTGCAGGAAGACGAAGACGAAGGTGATGATGATGAGGAGAGAGATGAGAACGACAAGGTGGAACGCGATAGAGCCATAAGTTCCGAAGAGTTACCGAGCAGACGGGATGGTAGAAAATTCATCAAATTAAAATGCCCACATTGCGCCCATCACAGCGTAACATTTAAAGAATATTCGCTGCACCTGTTTTCCGGTCGTCATAGCGCAGCTATGAGACGTATCGCGTCGCGACACAAGGCAACTCTTACGCGCATGAGAGTTCTGCAACGGCAAGAACAACGACGCGTCGAAGCTCGTGATGCAGCTCGCGGTACACTACCTTCACGTACTATGTTCTGCGCAATTTGCAAGTTGAATTACCGTTCTCTGAAAGCCGCTCATCAATTATCCGAATCGCATCGTCAGATGAAGCGATTTCTAACCCCATTTTGTCGGGTGTGTCGCATTCAATTTCGTTCACCGATGTTATTTGAGACACATATGTGTTCTTTGGATCACATCAAGGTGAGGTTACTTCGACGATCAATGATTATAATGATTATAAGATTTTTAATAAGTTATCGTTTCTTTTATTTTATCAGAGAAAAAGCGCGTTGAAGGAGAGAATGAACGCTAGTGGGAGCGGTGAGGCAGAAGCAGACTCCAGCGCGCCCGAGGAAGATGACAAGGAAGTCAATCTCGATAATTTCATGACTTTAGACTCTGTAGGTGACGTCGACGGTACGTGAACAGAAGTTTCCTGATGCATACGTTATCTTTGTTAATTTGCCGCTTAACCTAATATATACAGATGTAACATACATTTCGCTTCTGATCGTCTTCTTCCTTCATATCATCGTCCTTTTCTTCCTCATCTTCGGTGTGTTGCCTCTCCCTATCCTGTTTCTCTTTCTTGTGCTTATCCTCTTTATTCTTTTTCTCTTCTTCCTCTTCTACTTCCTCCTCTTCATCGTGTTCGTGCGGCTGTATTAATTGAAAAAATATTATCAAATCAATGCATAGTCATGAAGCATTAGCTAATTACATGTGATTTCTGATGCATACGTTATATTTATCAATTTGCCCCTTAATCTAATATCGTATACAGATTTATCGTAACATACATTTATCTGTAAGCTTTTTATATCATAATTATTACTTACAGTAGAAGACGAAGGATCCAATGATAAAAAGAAAGATAAAGTCGAAGGCGAGACTACGAGTGAGGCAGAGAAGAAGTCAAAGGGGAAACAAATGATCAAGGTTGGTGCGGAGTATATAAAACGCGTGGAAGTGCAATATTGTGAATTGTGCAAAATCTACTTGCCACGCAGCGAAAATACAGAAAGAGCGGTCGCTCTTCATTGCTCTACTCGCAGCCATCTGAAACGGTATCGTATTGCGATATAATTATATCTACATGAACGCAAAATCGATACAAAATCGAAAATAATCGTGATGCATTCTAGTAATCTTATATGTGTTACAGATACGTTAGGGATAATGATGACAAGGCATTGAGACGTCAAGCGGAACGAATACACTTGCAATCGTCGTCATCATCATCGTCAGCGAATGTGAATTCTAATAATTCGGCCGTCATTAATTCGTCGGAAACTGTGAAAACATCTCCTGTCAATTCCGAGCCGCAAGCGTCTGCGAGCACTACGCTCCCTGCAGCCACGATCGATAACAACGGCACACGTGGTTCAGAATACGCGAAAATCGAGGAACAGAAATCAAATGGTTCAGAATCGGAGAAAAATATGAAGGAAAGTAAGAGTAATCAGGGCGATGAGGATGACGATGATGATTACCGCACTCACGGTGTCGATAAATCCACGTGGGATGATGTTGACAAAGATTTGGGCGATATTCTGAGGGAAAACGAAGCAGCGGCATCGAAATCAAGCGATGACGAAGAGTCGCGTTACGACCGTTTTCGTAATTCGGAGAAGAAACAGCAATCTGGCAAAGAAAAGGAAAATGACAAGAGCGAAGTACTTGAAGAGAAAGCCGCTAATAATAAGATTAAAGAGTTAAAAGTCAAACTCGAGAAGACAGATATATAATACATTCAGAAAATGACCACGTCTCAAAGTATGTCACGAGTTCGGTCAATTCTATTATTTCTCTCCTCGTTTCACTGATAGCTTTCTTTTTCTCAGAAAACAATAAAAAATCTTCGCAGTTTTTCCAATCGCAGTAGTCATTTAAAGAAATAATTACAAGAATTATGCAAATATGAGCTACAAGCACATCACGATATTCATGTCTATATCTTAGTCAAGAATAACGACATTGTGTAATGTAGTGCTGTAAGCTTCGTGAATTTTGCAGATCCAATCTTGTGTAATTTCAATCGTATAATCAACGTTACAATGTATAAGCGGGTTCTAATTGAGATGAGAAAATAGTATACAATTTTTAAATTACAATATACGAGTTATCAAATTCGATTATTAAAAACTCTATTATCGAGTTATATGAGTTATCAAATCAAATATAGAAATATTAATCTTCCTTCTGCGTTCTGCGTTACGTATTCGCAATGATGTGCGCGAGTCAACTGACAGTTTGATTCTCGTAAATATGTAGTTTAATGTTGATTAAAGCATACGTAAAGGAATTCGATATTTCCTACTGCGAATCTCGCTTAGTTTCTTGAAAAATCTGTTTTTCCAACAAAATTTACACACTCCTATGTTAATATGAACAAGTCGCTCGCTATTAATGATATGAATTAATTTTTCGGAGTATATTAACATACATGTATATGTATATGTATATACATACAAAATGTTTGATGCAAAGTATACAAAACTACGAATGTAGAATATGTTAACCTGAGCACAAGAAACCTAGCTTCATTTTGCCATGCGGCATTTTGCAAACAAACACGTAAAATTACGAGATATTGGTGAAAAAAGATTGACGAGTCAGACCAACTAGGTGACTGCGATTGTTTCTTAGAAACATGCGTACAACACGTTCGTCATATGTCGAAAAGCAATAATCCTCGTGTCGTACATATACATATTGCTTTAATTTTTAAGCCGTAATAAATTGACCAACTACAGTTGATTAAAAATAACTGTGGTTGGTCAACTTCTTAAGGCTTAGGAATTAAAGCAAGGTTGTGGACAAAAAGGTACTTCTCTTCAACTGCCAACAGATATCCATGTTAGGAGACAACAATAACGTTTCCGGCATTTTTTATAAAGTCTTGCACTTATAAAGCCCTCTGTAACATCGCGCGCTTTGATTACTATAACCAATCTTCTTCTTTTAATATCTCGAAATTTCACACATGGTTGTTTGCAAAACGCCAAGTTTTTACGCTTGGTTTTGTATATTTTACGTCAGCACCCTATATATACATATATGTATATAAATATATATATTCACATTTATATATACATACATATTAGTTAAAATGGGAGCATATGTTTGATACATCTCAAAGAAAGCCTGTTAGATTTTTGTTGACATCGAAACATTTGTCATTGTCGAAAAACTGAGTGTATTTAAACGAAATAAATTACGTCGTATAATTAACTCATATTTATTACTTCGTTCACACAAAAAGAAAATATCAGAATAAGAATGTTTTCGCGATAAGGCTTAAGATATTTGCTTTGATAAAATATGATTACAAAAGTTTTCACATTTAGAAAATGAGTTTAGAAAATACATATCTAAGAGAATGTATTTGAGCGATTTTTGAAAAATTGGAGTTTTGCCGGGACACCGGGTGCGATGTGAAGTAGGTCAAAGTAAGACATGGTTTACAGTGAATGTATCCAGAGTATGATCCACTTGACGTTGTAAATGCTTTGAAACGCCGTATAGATCAATCATAATCGTTCTTTACGCTACAAATTGTAGCTTTAAGTAGATACTATTCCCAGTACTACTCTGTTCACTGAGCGTGCAGTGAACTCTTGGATTTGATTGTACATATTGATTGTATTTGATTGTATTGATTGGTGTATATTTTTAGATCTAAAGGAATACGCCAATCGGACGCAAGAACTCAGAAGTATAGTACTGAATGCACCCTATGAGGCGCGTTCGAAAACTCCACCCAGGTGCTTCTCCTCTCTCTTTATCTCACTTCTCTGTATCTTTCTCACTCCAACGCAGCGAGTGCACTCAGATAGAGTTTTCGAATGCACGCATAGACGTCGTAAACCGTAAGCCGTAAGAATTGGCCAATCATAGGTCAATATTCATAGTCTGATCTTATATTTAATGCGTCGTCTACAATGGGAGTAGTAGTAAGAAATAAGCAGTAAGTAAATAGACCAATCACAATCGATTATTTTTTAAACGTAAGAATGAAGTTGGTCAATTTGCTTACTGCTTATTTCTTACTACTACTCTTACTGCCATTGTAAACGACGCATAAGATCATCTTAAGTACTGTCTTAAGATGTCATGAACCAATCACAGAGCCGTATTCGCTATATCTTAAGACATTACTTAAGACGATCTTGATTCGACTATGAATACTGGCCATAGTCAATTATTCGCCAGAATAATCGGCTATGATTGGTTAATTCTTACGGCTTACTCCGCATATTGTAGACCAAGACTAGGAGATTCGTACCTTTTACTAAGGAGACGCGCAGAATTGATTTGTTGCGCGTGTTTCACTTAGTATTCGCGGCATACTTGTTGCATTATTTCTCGCGGTAAATTGCCAGAAGAGAGGATCTTAGAGTGATTACAAGTTTGATATCAAGGACGCGACATACTCCGGAATAGAGGGAGAGACGTTTCAATCTTGACATTGTTGCGAAAAGCGGCGGAGGATCCGTTCGAAGGTAAAAACGCTTCTTAATTAATGTACCACAATGTATCAAACAAGTCGGTTTCTGAAGATAAGAGCTGAGCAAACAACGTGGTAAAATATGCTGTGGTAAATGCAAGCTTCGATTAATTTATGATGGATAATTATGTATCGTGAGAATAATTGAGCATGTAGCGAATAAGGGGGAGGAGAGAGAGAGAGAGAGAGAGAGAGAGAGAGAGAGAGAGAGAGAGAGAGAGAGAGAGAG